GGAAGAGCAGGCTAGGGTTAAGACGACGGGCTGGGGAAAGGGGCGAGCCGCTACAGGGGAAAGGGCGGGCCGCTACAGGGGAAAGGGCGGGCCGCTACAGGGGAAAGGGGAAGTGGCGGGCCGTGACGGAGGTAAAGGACGGGCGGGACGCGACGGGGGGAAAGGGACCCAACGGGGGGGAAAGGACGGGCGGGACGCGACGGGGGGGAAAGGGGCACGACGAGGGGAAAGGACGGGCGGGACGCGACGGGGGGAAAGGGACGCGACGAGGGGGAAAGGGCGGGCAGGACGCGACGGGGGGAAAGGGACGCGACCAGGGGGGAAAGGGCGGGCAGGACGCGACGGGGGGAAAGGGACGCGACGAGGGGGAAAGGGCGGGCAGGACGCGACGGGGGGGGGAAAGGGACGCGACGAAGGGGAAAGGGCGGGCAGGACGCGACGGGGGGAAAGGGACGCGACGAGGGGGAAAGGGCGGGCAGGACGCAACGGGGGGAAAAGGCGCGACGCGACGGGGGGAATGGGCGGCGACGCGACGGGGGGAACGGGCGCGACACGACGTGGGGGGGGGGGAACGCGACGCGACGGGGGGTAAGGGCGGGCGCTACGGAACGAGGGGAACGGGTGGCGCGGACGGGCGCTAGGAGTGGCGCTAGGCTCGGCACTACGCGCGGTAACAACGGAACCGGGACGAATGAGAGCTAGGATCAGGCTCGGGAGGCTCGAACGGAGAACGGAGGAACGGGATCCCACAGGATCCTAACCTAACTGATACCATGTCAGAATGAAGAATGGATGATGCATTGATGTTGGTTGGGGTACATATAGCTAACCCTAAGTTTTGTACCCCCTAAGACAAACCTCACTATAGGCTACAACATTTGACACACCTTCCCATTGTACACTGCACAACTCACTCACCACAAGGGAGAGAACAGAACTCGGTGAACGTTTCTTTCATCCAAAGCCAGAACATGCCATGCTATGCAGGAAGAAATTCCCTGCCCTGTCATCCTGGAAAGAGCGTGCGCCAAGTCAGCACGTCAGGGTCTGCGATTGCTGTTGCTGGGGGGAGCAAACCATCGTAGTGTTTGGATAATTTGAATTTAATACATCATAAATCCAATAGTGTTTGGATAAGCCCTCTCAAAGTACCGTACTAGGAAGCCTCATTCAACATCGCAGACTCAATCACGGCTAGAAAGATATGGTGTTGAGTGAGTCCATCCAACATGAACCTCTTTCGCAGTACAAGACCACAAACAATTTGTCAATGTAAGACCACTTTTAATATGAGTAGCCTGACATGCCTACCACACATCCACCATAGAATGCCTTCCTTACCCCGCCTAAACCAGCTTGTAATGCGAATCCACCACGACTAAGGAAAATCGCTATGAGCTTGGTATCTTAATCTTACTTTTTGAAAGTGAAAAGAAGTGGCAGAATTCCAAGATCAAGGCGACTCAAACCCGAACACACGGAAGACACCTGAGGGACAATGAGGCAAACAGGAACACACAAAACATGAAGTAGCTTATATGCACAAGCAGGAAAGGAGGTGAACCTCCTTTTAGTTGGCAGAGGTTTAAGTTCCTCTGTGCAGCTTCAAATTGGCATCTACAGCTCATGATGACACACTTTAAATATGAAGGTAACACAAAAGGGAAATAACGATGGCGGCTCATCCCACTCCACACTCCACACTTTCGATGCCAAACCACATGGCTCATTCGTTTCAAACCCACGCTGTGATCTGAAAGCACAGGAGCAGGCACGCCCCTTACGAATACAAATTAAAGGCCGAGTCACCCGGCGACGAGTGCTTGCCATCATTGTCCGAGGCATAGGCGAGCACCACGTGCTTGGGGTTCCACTCAATTCATTTCAACAAAAAGCATAAGCGAAGGCACAAAAGCGCACCGCTCTTACGGTGACTCACCCGGGGACGAGTGCTTGCCGTTGTCGTCAGAGGCGTATGCAAGCAGCAGGGGCTTGGGGTTCCACTCGGGTCGATGCACACTGTGGTTCAATGCGCACTGCTCCCAGGGCAACCAACCGAGTATGGTAACAGCAGGGTCACTCACTCACCCGGGGACGAGTGCTTCCCGTCGTCGTCAGAGGCATATGCGAGCAGCAGGTGCTTGGGGTTCCACTCAACACTGTTCATCGCCGCCCACGATGGGATCTGATGCACTGACCGCCCCGTCTCCACCTCGGCCTGTTGTGGGGGTTGCGGTTGGGGACAAAAAGGCCGGGCGGCAGAGCATTGGAGGTTGGGAAAGCAAAGGAAAGAGAGGGATGGAGGGGATGTTTGAGATCTGAGGACTCACCCTGTTGAGAGGGGAAGGGGTGGGTTGCACGAGGGAGGGGGGAGGGTCGAAGGAAATTTGCGCTAAGTTCAGAGAGTATGGGAAGGCAGGAGAGGGTACAGGAGGAGGGACGGCAGGAGAAACGGAAGGAGGAAGATATAGGTGTGGAACATGTATGGCGTGTTGTCTGGTAAAGCACAATGCACACGCACAATGAGCTCACACAACGCAGCAGAGTACATGAATGCTGCACATCTCACAACAGTGCACGCCTTACAATGTCGACAAAAAGGTCTTCACTAGCAGACGCGAGATACCGCCCATCGTGGCTGAAGCTCACCGTGCGCACAGGCCACCTGTGGGCTTGTGGAGGAGAGGGGAAGGATTCAGGAATAAGTGGGAGTCGTGGGGCATGTGGGTGGAAGCGTAGGGGAAGCGGAAAACTGGAGAGGGAAGCGGAAAACTGGAGAGGGAAGTGACTGAAGCTCACAGTGCGCAAAGGCCATCTGTGGGGGTGTGGAGAAGAGGAGCATCAATTAAAACAAGGGAAGAGAAAGAAGGGTGGGAAGGGAAGATAACGCAGCATGGGCTGACGAGGAGGGAAGCGGAGAAGCATCTGAGCAGCGTGACTACTAAGCATGTTAGGGGGTGTAAAGGGGGACGAATGTTAGGGGGTGTAAAGGGGGACGAATGTTAGGGGGTGTAAAGGGGGACGAATGTTAGGGGGTGTAAAGGGGGACGAATGTTAGGGGGTGTAAAGGGGGACGAATGTTAGGGGTGTAAAGGGGGACGAATGTTAGGGGGTGTAAAGGGGGACGAATGTTAGGGGGTGTAAAGGGGGACGAATGTTAGGGGGTGTAAAGGGGGACGAATGTTAGGGGGTGTAAAGGGGGACGAATGTTAGGGGGTGTAAAGGGGGACGAATGTTAGGGGGTGTAAAGGGGGACGAATGTTAGGGGGTGTAAAGGGGGACGAATGTTAGGGGGTGTAAAGGGGGACGAATGTTAGGGGGTGTAAAGGGGGACGAATGTTAGGGGGTGTAAAGGGGGACGAATGTTAGGGGGTGTAAAGGGGGACGAATGTTAGGGGGTGTAAAGGGGGACGAATGTTAGGGGGTGTAAAGGGGGACGAATGTTAGGGGGTGTAAAGGGTGACGAATGTTAGGGGGTGTAAAGGGGGACGAATGTTAGGGGGTGTAAAGGGGGACGAATGTTAGGGGGTGTAAAGGGGGACGAATGTTAGGGGGTGTAAAGGGGGACGAATGTTAGGGGGTGTAAAGGGGGACGAATGTTAGGGGGTGTAAAGGGGGACGAATGTTAGGGGGTGTAAAGGGGGACGAATGTTAGGGGTGTAAAGGGGGACGAATGTTAGGGGGTGTAAAGGGGGACGAATGTTAGGGGGTGTAAAGGGGGACGAATGTTAGGGGGTGTAAAGGGGGACGAATGTTAGGGGGTGTAAAGGGGGACGAATGTTAGGGGGTGTAAAGGGGGACGAATGTTAGGGGGTGTAAAGGGGGACGAATGTTAGGGGGTGTAAAGGGGGACGAATGTTAGGGGGTGTAAAGGGGGACGAATGTTAGGGGGTGTAAAGGGGGACGAATGTTAGGGGCTGTAAAGGGGGACGAATGTTAGGGGGTGTAAAGGGGGACGAATGTTAGGGGGTGTAAAGGGGGACGAATGTTAGGGGGTGTAAAGGGGGACGAATGTTAGGGGGTGTAAAGGGGGACGAATGTTAGGGGGTGTAAAGGGGGACGAATGTTAGGGGGTGTAAAGGGGGACGAATGTTAGGGGTGTAAAGGGGGACGAATGTTAGGGGGTGTAAAGGGGGACGAATGTTAGGGGGTGTAAAGGGGGACGAATGTTAGGGGGTGTAAAGGGGGACGAATGTTAGGGGGTGTAAAGGGGGACGAATGTTAGGGGGTGTAAAGGGGGACGAATGTTAGGGGGTGTAAAGGGGGACGAATGTTAGGGGGTGTAAAGGGGGACGAATGTTAGGGGGTGTAAAGGGGGACGAATGTTAGGGGGTGTAAAGGGGGACGAATGTTAGGGGGTGTAAAGGGGGACGAATGTTAGGGGGTGTAAAGGGGGACGAATGTTAGGGGGTGTAAAGGGGGACGAATGTTAGGGGGTGTAAAGGGGGACGAATGTTAGGGGGTGTAAAGGGGGACGAATGTTAGGGGGTGTTAAGGGGGACGAATGTTAGGGGTGTAAAGGGGGACGAATGTTAGGGGGTGTAAAGGGGGACGAATGTTAGGGGGTGTAAAGGGGGACGAATGTTAGGGGGTGTAAAGGGGGACGAATGTTAGGGGGTGTAAAGGGTGTTAGGGCATCTAAGGTGGCAGAGGGAATGGGTGTAGAGTTACATCATGCAGAGTTACATCATGCAGAGTTACATCATGCAGAGTTACATCATGCAGAGTTACACCATGCAGAGTTACATCATGCAGAGTTACATCATGCAGAGTTACATCATGCAGAGTTACATCATGCAGAGTTACATCATGCAGAGTTACATCATGCAGAGTTACACCATGCAGAGTTACACCATGCAGAGTTACACCATGCAGAGTTACAACATGCAGAGTTACATCATGCAGATTTACATCATGCAGATTTACATGAGGGCGTGTGTGTGTGGCGCACACAGCAGAATGGGTGCTACTCACTCGAGGCGTGTGAAGGTGCTACTCACTCGAGGCGTGTGAAGGTTCGCACACACAGCATGTGCTGCATGTCCCAAAGGCTGACCAGTGCGTCTGCACTGCCCGCTGCGAAGTACCTGCAACGGTGGTGATGGTGGTGGTGGTGGTGGTGGTGGTGGTGGTGGTGGTGGTGGTGGTGGTGGTGGTGGTGGTGGTGGTGGTGGTGGTGGTGGTGGTGGTGGTGGTGGTGGTGGTGGTGGTGGTGGTGGTGGTGGTGGTGGTGGTGGTGGTGGTGGTGGTGGTGGTGGTGGTGGTGGTGGTGGTGGTGGTGGTGGTGGTGGTGGTGGTGGTGGTGGTGGTGGTGGTGGTGGTGGTGGTGGTGGTGGTGGTGGTGGGGTGGTGGTGGTGGTGGTGGTGGTGGTGGTGATGGTGAATGAAAAGGAGGAGGAGAAAGAAAGGAGGCGGAGAATGGGTAAGTGTAAAGGGAAGGAGGTGAAGGAAGGGAAGGGGATAAAGAAGGGGATGAAGAAAAACAAGAAGAAAAAAAAACAAAGAAAAAATATTCTCACATGGGAGGAGTGGAAATGAATGAATGTGAGATATGAGAAGCGCGATTCATCCCTACAACCTCGCACACTCCCACACGCACCCCCACTCTCTACCACCATCTCCCTTCTGCCACCCCTCAAATGCACGCACCTGCCAAGGGGGTCAATGGCCAGGGAATACACTCCTGCTGTGTGCGCGTGCAGGGTGTCTAGTGTCTGCAGGGAGGGGTAACCCAAAACTTCCACTGCGCCTGCAATTTGAGGTGTGGAGGGAAGTTGAGGCGCGGTGGAGAGAGTTTACACGTGGAGTTAAGTTGACGAGTCATGGAGGGTTGAGTTGTGGAGTGGAGTTGAGTTGAGGTGCAAAAGGAAGTTGAGTCAATATCAGGGGCTGGGTTGATGCCAACAAAACAGGTGCTCAGTCCCGCTGCTCACCAGTGCACCACAGCTCCACCGTTTTGCACCACATTGCACACCTGTGCACCGGAGCTCACCTGTGCCAGTCGTGACAAGGAAAATCGAGCCTGTCCGGTCCCATGCAAACTCGTTCAGCTGCAGGCAAATGGTGGGTGACAGGGAGGCGGTGATAGGCAGCGAGGCAGCTTCCACACAGGTGAGAAGCGCCTTCTGAGACGGCTCAAAAGCGACCAAACTGGTGAAAAGCAGCTTTTTAAACGTCTCAAAAGCTTCCACACAGGTGAGAAACGAAGCTGAAGGGTGGGTGGGCCGTGGACGCAGCAGGATGGTGAGAGAATGTCAGGAAGAATGTGAGAGAACAAATGCGCCTCCGGCTTTCGTGCCCCGGGGTCTCTCACGGAAGGAAACCGCCTCACACTAAACCGCCTGACAATGACTCACTGACCTCATAGGTGAACTTGCGCTTGTGGATTGGCTTCAGCTTCCTCACATCCAAAATGGTCAACTCGTCCGCCTGCATGCATGCATGCATGCAGCACACAGCGTGTAACATGTGCCACGAATCATGGGCCAGGGAATAAATCACCCAGCATGCTTCTGAGACGGCAATCAATGGAATAGTTGAGTGATCCATCCATGAAATGCGGGCTCATGACACTAACCACATCAAGGATGCTAGAAAGAAAGGCTCATACATAACGCAGCCCAGTGAAGTTACAGTACAGCCCAGTGAAGTTACAGTACAGCCCAGTGAAGTTACAGTACAGCCCAGTGAAGTTACAGTACAGCTCACTAACTTAAAAATGCACGTTGCAGTACAGTACAGCACACTTACGCTGTTGCCCACGGCGATGTGCGTGCCATCGGGCTTGTACGTGACGTTGATGTTCTCCCCCTTTAGAGTCACACTCTGCTGACATCTGGCAGCTGACGTGGCAATGGGAGGGACACACAACGGAAATTAAAAGAAAGCAGCACTTGAGCAGAATGAAAAAAAAAAAAAAAAAAAATCTGCATGTAATGTGCGCGTGTGTTAGTGTGCAGTGCACGAGCATGCGTCATCAAATTACCGCGTGGCACCTTCACTCCCAGTCATACCCCCTGCACTCACATCTTGTGTCCCAGATGCGAACGGACTTGTCTTGAGAAGCAGACGCAAGCAGATCAGGGTGCAGGGGGTCCCAGCACAGGTTATCCACGCTCTCACTGTGGCCCCTCAACTCCACCTCGCGCTGCTTGCTCTGCAGCACCACGGGCAGCACGTGAACGGCATGATATGATAAGGATGGGAGGAATGGGGCGGATGGATGGAGGCCCAAAGTTGGTTGGATCAGGTAGATGTCACTGGGATGGGGTGTTACCGAAGATGAAACGTTACACTGGGATGAAACGCTACAAAAGGAATGGGACGTTGCGGGGACGACTCACGTGGTTTGATTGGCCGCTGGGATCCACTTGCCACACGCGGATGGTTTGGTCCACCGAACCTGACCCGAGCTTCTCGCCGAGGCAGTTCCACACCACCGAATGCACCTGGGTCGTAGAATAAAAAAATGGAAAACACAGAAAATAAGGCTTCTACGTTCTATAAAAGGAACTCCCTGTCAGCTTGACCTAGAATTCCTTGCCTTTTCCCTAGCTTCAGTTCTGCATGACCTTATGGATTTTTTTAGAATTCTCAAAAAATCCCTATCTTCAGTTCTGCATGCCGTCATTCTGTAGTCTCCATACCTCCACAAGACCTCATGCCCCCAACACATTTCTACTCCCCCCTTTTCCCCCGTGCCTCCCCCGTGCCGCCCCCGTGCCTCCCACGCTCCCACATGCCTCCCACGTGCCTTCTACTCCCTCATTGGTCCACGTGTCTCGTACCTTTTTCTTGTGTCCAACGAACTCTCGGCTGTACAGGTTCCTAAAAGGGTCCTTTCCCGCTCTTAGTTGCGACGGCAGCGGCGCGGGAGCCGGCGGCTGCTGCGACTGCCCTTGCGCCTGGCCCTGCGACTGGTTCTGGTTCTGCGACTGCTGTTGCTGCAGCTGCTGCTGCTGCTGCTGCTGCGCTTGCGCCTGCTGCTGCTGCGCCTGCTGCTGCGGGTGCGGAAGCGGCGGCTGCGCGGGGGGTCCGCCGGGGTATTGCGCGAATCCGGTTGCGCCGGGGTGCGGGGGAGTGGGGTAGCGGTGGGGGATGTGGCCGTGTGTGAAGGGTGAGGGGTGGTGCTGCTGGTAGTGCATCGGCCCTCCCATTCCGTACATCGCGGCGCGCTGGAGATAGTAACCGCGGAGCTCTCGAGGCGTCTAAAAAGCAGCTGACTAACTGAGTAAAAGCGGACAGTTACGATCGTCGCACGTACGGACGAATGAGCAGCAGCAATAGCAGCTGCGTGGAGTTAAAATAGTCCGCGTGGCAGAACAGGGAGATTGCCGAAGTTTGAAGCGACTTAATATCTAACTACGTGAACGCGAGCCGCGGTTATGCGATTGTCAGAAGAAAGTGAACGCATGAAGGAGACACTGCAGTGCATGAGCACGCTATGGCGGCTTGATCTTCCTGTTACGTGGATGGTGTGATTCACGGAATAGAAATTCACTTTATAAGAAGAATCTGGTGACGTGACCAATCGTCGCACTAATGAGCTACACTTCGTGAATGAATAACGTTAATGACCTTACATACAGCATTTCTTGATTGTACGTCTTCCCAGATAGCCACTTCCGGATTGATTTTTTAAACTACTAACATGATTTCTACAAATGTTTAAGCGGCGGCCTCTTGTGCTGCGCGCGCCGCCTTGCCAGCGGCAGCTTGCACGCTGGTGATGGCGATGGTGTTGACGATGTCCTTTGTGGTGCACCCTCGGCTCAAATCATTCACCGGCCGACTCAACCCCTGCAGCACTGGTCCCATGGCAATGGCTCCTGTGGCCTGTGGGGAAGATAGAGAGGGCAAATGGTATAGAACTCATCAAATGGGATTTGAGATAGTTAGTTCAAGCCAGAGCACACCGCAGATAATTTGAACCGGATGTTATTGGAAGGTAAGGATTGAGAGTGTGGGGAGGAGGGGGTGAGAAGGAAAGTGAGAGGTACCTGTTGCACGGCCTTGTAGGTGTTGTTGCCTGTGTTGAGGTCTGGGAATATGAGGACCGAGGCCTGTACAAGGAGCAGGGAGGAAGGAAGCAGCAAGTTGAAGGAGTGGAATCTTGAAATGGCTGGACATGCCGTTATTTGAAGGCTTTGGATATGAGCTGCTGAGCTGCTGGTCATTCAGAGGGTTTTGTCAGAGCGTGTAGCGCACAAATGGCAGTCAATTATTGCAGAATGGGACAATGGGGCAACCATTGGTCAACAGGACAAACCTTGCCAGCCACGTCGGACTCTCTGCCGTCCATCTTGTTGTGGGCGGCCATGGGGTTGACAGCAGCGTCGTACTGCAGTGGTCCCTCCACCAGCAGGTCTGGCCGCTGCTGCTTCACTAGCTGCGTTGCCCGCACCACCTTCTGCACTATCGTGTCTGGATAGAGGGGAGAGAGGGGTAAGCGGAAAATGTCAACATCACAGAGAGTTGGCAGCAAGAGGGTATAATAGTCAACAACACCCTTTTCACCAGCAAATCCGGCCGCTGCTGCTTCACCAGCTGCGTTGCCCGCACCGCCTTCTGCACTATGGTGTCTGAATGGTGGGAGGGTTTCACTCAGAGGAGAGGGAGATGGAGAAGCCCCCCAGAGGTGTTGATTCCACTCTCACCTTCCAGAGGGAAACACATTTGCAACACCCATTGCTTATTCCGTCCCAATCCCACCTTCCTTCCATTCTCACCTTCCTTGCGTTCATCCAGGGTGGAGTACGACAGCATCGCCACACGAGGCTCCACGCCAAAGGCAGCAGCGGTGTCGGCTGATGACATGGCGATCATCGCAAGCTGTCACACACATAAACAACACCAGGAACTCCTCCCCCCCCACCTTTCCATTCTCACCTTCCTTGCGTTCATCCAGGGTGGAGTAGGACAGCATTGCCACACGCGGCTCCACGCCAAAGGCAGCTGCAGTGTCGGCTGACGAGATGGCGATCATCGCGAGCTCCTCAGCCGTCGGATTGGAGTTGATGGCGCAGTCACCGTAGATGTACACGTGGTCAGGCAGGCACATGAAGAACACACTCGAGATGATCGCGGTGTTGGGCAGTTTCTGCAGAGCACATGCCACATCACACAAGGAATGGACATGGCAGAGAGGGCATGGCAGGACATGAGAAGGGAGAAGGGAGGGGAAGTGAGGTTAGCACTGCGGCCCAAAAACATATCATTCTGCTGTAAGGGTTGCTGGGGAATTCTCAAGACACACCTGCCGCTTCCCGTTTCACTTTCAACACAAAGCAGCACTCACAGGGATCATCTGAAGAGCTGGGCGGATGGTGGCGATGGTGGTGTGCACGGCACCTGACACCATGCCATCCACATCGCCTGCTGCCACCATGGCTGTACCCAGGTAGTTGGGGTCCGTGATCATGTGCTCGTGGGCTTCCATCAGAGTCACGCCCTGCAGGTAGGTAGAGTGCATGGGAAGGGAACGGAAAGGAAGAAAAATCAAGGCAGGCACTTTATAGAGAGGTGAGAAGGGGTGGTAGTTGGAGTCAGGGAGTGGTCAAGGCAGAGGCCCTTATCAGGGAGGGTTGCGCCCTGCAGAAAGCCAGGGAGAGGTGGAGTAAGTTCCTCCCATGCAGTAAGTTCCTCCATGCAGTAAGTTCCTCCATGCAGTAAGTTCCTCCATGCAGTAAGTTCCTCCATGCAGTAAGTTCCTCCATGCAGTAAGTTCCTCCATGCAGTAAGTTCCTCCATGCAGTAAGTTCCTCCATGCAGTAAGTTCCTCCATGCAGTAAGTTCCTCCATGCAGTAAGTTCCTCCATGCAGTAAGTTCCTCCATGCAGTAAGTTCCTCCCATGCAGTAAGTTCCTCCATGCAGTAAGTTCCTCCATGCAGTAAGTTCCTCCATGCAGTAAGTTCCTTCCTTCCGTACGGTACCAGCGCCATGCGGCATCAACCTACCACACTGGAGTTTCCCGTATCAAGACCCACCTTGTCCTTGCGGGCTTGATACAGCAGCTCAGCGTAGTGGTCGAGGTTGGGGGCGGAAGGCGGGTATGCGATGTCAGCGCCCGACACGTCCACATGCAGCTGCTTGGCTGCCGTGATGATTTCACCCAGCCCACAGGCCCACCTTGTCTTTGCGCGCCTGGTACAGCAGCTCAGCGTAGTGGTCCAGGTTGGGGGCGGAGGGCGGGTACACAATGTCAGCGCCCGACACCCCAGTCTCCCCACCAAAGTGGAACAAGCCTTTCAAAGGCAGGCAGGCTCTCATGACCCACTTTGTCCTTGCGGGCCTGATACAGCAGCTCAGCGTAGCGGTCTCAAGTTGAGGGCGGAAGGCGGGTAGACAATGTCAGCGCCCGACACACCCCAGTGTTTCCACTGTAAAACAAGCCTTTCCCAGGCAGGCAGGCAGGATCATCACCCACCTTGTCTTTGCGGGCTTGATACAGCAGCTCAGCATAATGGTCCAGGTTGGGGGCAGAGGGCGGGTAGACAATGTCAGCACCAGACACGTCCACACGCAGCTGCTTGGCTGCCGTGATGATCTCATCGGGATGGCCTATGAGCGTCACCCGGCATAGCGACCGCCGCAGCACCTCCCCTGCTGCCTGGATGGTCCGAGGCTCTGCTCCCTGGCGGAGGGATTGTGAACAGGAGAAGAGGTACAGTGCGGTTGAGTGCAGTTCAGAATGAGGGGAGGGAGGGAGAGAAGAAGGGAGGGAGGGAGAGAAGAAGGGAGGGAGGAAGAGGATGTGGGTTGGGGGCAGAGGGCGGGTACACAATGTCAGTGCCCGACACGTCCACACGCAGCTGCTTGGCTGCCGTGATGATCTCATCGGGATGGCCTATGAGCGTCACCCGGCATAGCGACCGCCGCAGCACCTCCCCTGCTGCCTGGATGGTTCTCGGTTCTGCTCCCTGGCATGATGAGGCGGGTGGAGGGAGAAAGACGGTTCAGGATGGGGGCAGTTGGCGGGTAGATGATCTCATCCGGATGGCCTATGAGTGTCAGCCGGCATAGCGACCGCCGCAGCACCTCCCCCCCTGCCTGGTGGGGTTGGAGATGTGAGCGAATGAAGAGTTGCAGTGCGGTCGTCGCTACAAGTGCAACTTTTGAGGCGCCTCAAAAGTCGTCGGAAGAGTTGCAGGGCGGTCATCGCTACAAGTGCAAGTACACGGACTGTTCTCGGAGAGATTGAATAGGAGAACGATGGACAAAAAGAGGAAGGAGGGAGAGAGATGGTGCGAGCGTGGCCAAGAGGAGAGCAGGTCAAGGGAATGAGACAGGATTGGAAAGGAAGCAAGGAGAGAAAAGGGGGAAGTGAAATAGAGGGAAGGGAGGAAGGGGAAGCTGGGACGGGTGTGGTGGGAGTGGTGGTAACAGGTGTACCTCTGGCAGCACGATGTGGGACTGTGTGTCTCTGGGTTTGTCAGAGAGTGTGTGCTGGAAGGCTCATGAGGAGAGGTTTCTGACGGTGGGGTACGGTGAGGGTGGTTGCATTACAATCTCACCTCTGGCAGCACGATGTGGGACTGTGCTTCTCGGCACTTGTCAAATATGGTGTGCTGGAAGAGCTTGGGGTTCATGCGGAGGGGGCGCTCCTTGAATAACACCTGGTGCAGCATGCGCATGTCCACGTTCTCATGGAATATGACCTGTGGGCGCGGGGATAGAGGTGTGTGTGGGTGTGGGTGTGGGTGTGGGTGTGGGTGTGGGTGTGGGTGTGTGAAGGGCGTAGGAAGGGAAGAGGCATAGACAGGTGGTTGGATTGGATTGGAATATGACCTGCAGTTGGATTGGGATAGAGACGAAGGGTGATATGCTGCATGCGTATGTCCACGTTCTCATGGATTATGACCTGCAGGGAGGGGAGAGTAAGAGAAAGAGGGGGGTTTTGAGACAAAACATAACGGGTCGCTCCTTGAATAGCACTTGGTGCAGCATACGCATGTCCACGTTCTCATGGAATATGACCTGCGGGGAGGAGAGGGAGGGAGGGACTGTGTGCGGAGTGGAGGGAGTTGAATCGGAAGAGGCATACACAGGTGGCATGCGGTTGGAATGGGAAAGCGACAGTACGCAGCATGCATATGCTGACAGACACACGCACGCACGCACCTCGGCTCGTTCAATCTTGCGGTGCGACGTGGCGTGCAGCTCCGGCTGTGCATTGGTGAGGGCGATGCACGTGTCGTGTGTGGCCTTGGGGGACAGCAGCACTGGGAGGGACACACGTGTCGGCCGGCTCTGGATGGACAAGGAAAGGGTGGGAGGTAGTTGGGAGTGGTGAGTGGGCGTTGGTGAGGGCGATGCACGTGTCGTGTGTGGCCTTGGGGGATAGCAGCACTGGGAGAGACACTCTTGTGGGCCGGCTCTGAAAAGTCAATAGGAGAAGGGAATAATGGGAGGGAGTGGTGAGTGGGCGTTGGTGAGGGCGATGCACGTGTCGTGTGTGGCCTTTGGGGATAGCAGCACTGGGAGAGACACCCGCATGGGCCGGCTCTGAAAGAACAGGGGGAGAGTGGTCCGTGGGAGTGGTGGGTGGGTGGGATTGGTGAGAGTGATTGTTCAGAGTGGTGGGGTGGGAGTGGCAGAGGAGGAGGAAGATCAAGAGGGCATGTGGCCTTTTCCCTGCCTACGACTTCCCTACTCCCTCCCTGCTACCTCCCTGCTCCCTCAGGGCTCCCTACCAACTTCCCTCCTCGCCCCTTCTTCTCTTGCCTCCCAGCATGCGTACCCGAATGAGCATGTCGACTTCGAGGGGAGGAGGCGAGCCTCCAGTTAGTACCATGGCTGCCACCTGCAGGAGACACGTGGGGTGGTTGGATGGTGGGGTGGTTGGATGGTGGGGTGGTGGGATGGTGGGGTGGTTGGATGGTGGGGTGGTTGGATGGTGGGGTGGTTGGATGGTGGGGTGGTTGGATGGTGGGGTGGTTGGATGGTGGGGTGGTGGGATGGTGGGGTGGTTGGATGGTGGGGTGGTTGGATGGTGGGATGGTGGGATGGTGGGATGGTGATATGGTGGGATGGTGATATGGTGGGATGGTGATATGGTGGGATGGTGATATGGTGGGATGGTGATATGGTGGGATGGTGATATGGTGGGATGGTGATATGGTGGGATGGTGATATGGTGGGATGGTGATATGGTGGGATGGTGATATGGTGGGATGGCAATATCGTGGGATGGAGTGGAAAGATGGTAGGATAATGGATGGAGGTGGAGGCGAGGTGGGGGGGTGTGGAGAGAGGAGTGATACACACACATGTAATGAGCGGTGCAAGCACGAACAAGCAGCACGACGAACGCAGGGCTACAGCCGCCATCACGAGCCCGCAGAGGCGTGCACAACAACACACTCACGTGCGCTGCTGCCCTTTGTGCTGAACACACACACACAGACAGACACGCACCTGGGTGCTGAGGTGCGTCTCATGCAGGTCGATCATCCCCAGTAAAATGTCCGGGCGACTGGCGTGTGCCACAACCAGCACGCCCTTGCCTGGGTCATCGGAGGGCGGGATGTAGGAGAGCATGTCTGCCAGATGCAGCGTTGCCACGAGCGTGCGCGTGACTTCGGTGGTCATGTTGTTGCTGTGAGGCAGGTCGCCGTATAGCACGTGCGCGTTCAGCACTCGAGCCACGTCCTCCACCTGCGGGGGAGGGGGGGGGGGGGTGTAGGACAGCGGGGAAAGCGAGGACGGGGAAGGGAGGAGAGGGAGGGAGGAAGACGACCTCGGTGGTCATGTTGTTGCTGTGGGGCACATCCCCGTACAGCACATGCGCGTTCAGCACTCTCGCCACGTCCTCCACCTGCAGTGTGGGGAGAGAGGGCCCGAGGGTGTCAGGGGCCGGGGCAGGTGTGGGTGGGTGTGGGTGGGTCCTCTCCCTCATTCCCCCTTCCCATCCGTCGTCTCCCTCCTTCCACTTTTTCCTCCCGTATCTCCCTCCTTCCCTCCTCTTCTTAGACCCTCTTTCAGAACCGCACCTGGAAGGACTCGAGTGAGACATCTTCAGGGATTGGCCCCACGAAAGGGGATGTGTGCACTTGTGATGCCTAGCACCCTCATTCCATGTCTCTCTTCGTTCTTCCTATACCCTTTTTCAGAACCGCACCTGGAACGACTCGAGTGAGACATCTTCAGGGATGGCCCCCACGAAGGGGATGTGAGCGCGTGTGATGTACTCCCTCAGCCGTGCCGCGCCTCTTGACGTCTTGGGCATGCGGTAGATGAGCGCGCCTGCCACGTCAACGCGTGACTGCCTCATGATGCGCGCATGGTCCAGGATGCACCCTGCTGCCTCCTTCTCCCAGTCCCAGTCCTCAAACACCCCGCCTGACTGCATGGGGCTCGAGACAACGGGATCCACACAAGAAGCACGGTAGTGAGGCACTGGGGCAAGTAGGGCACCATGGAAGAGATGCATTTAAAAAACAAACTTTCAAAGGCAATTTTCCACTCCCAATCAGCATATAACCTACCTGACTGCAAGGGGGTTGAACATGAAAATTAGACATTGCTTGCAGAGTTTCGTGAGGAAGAGGGGAAGTGATGCAGTACATACAGCGTGTACATACAGCAGTACAGTACTGGGATGACGCGTGTGTACCTCGGTATGCTTGGGGTGGAATTGTGAGGCAGCACGGAGTTAGAGACCAGAAGCGCAGCGCAGGGGCTTCAAGGGCCGAGGCAATGAGGCCGTTGAGGGGCAAGGTATTGGTGCCGTCACGCATGCACAAGGGGCGTGGGGGAGGATCGCCATACAGCACGTGCATTGCGTACCTCGGTGTGCTTGGGGTGGAACTGTGAGGCAGCACGACCATCGGAGACCAGCAGGGCAGGGGCTTCAAGGGCCGAGGCAATGAGGCCGTTGAGGGGCGAGGTGTTGGTGCCGTCACGCATGGACGTGCCCTCTATCACCACAAAGTCGTGGTGCCGCTTGCACCGCTCGTACGCTGATGGTTGAGGGAGAGGGGGAGGGTTGGAGTGAAAATTTTGCTTTATTTCACTTGGACTTATTGATCGTATGGACGTGCCCTCTATCACCACAAAGTCGTGGTGCCGCTTGCACCGCTCGTATGCTGGTGGAGGAGGGGTGGAGGATGAAACGAGGGTTGCAGGAAAGCAGTCTCGAAAAAGAAAAGGAAAGAGAAACGCTCGGTAAGGGAGGAGCCGGAAGGAGAAGATGATGTGTGGACGAGCACCCAGAGCAGCAACTGGAGAATGAAACAGCCTGGTCGGAAATGATTTGATGGTGTCAGGAGCCTGACCTGGAACGTAAGATTCAAGACCTTGACTTTACAGTCTCTGGTCGTAACGAGTTTTGACCTGACGCGATGGTTTCAGGAGTTCTGACCTGAAATCTCGGTTTCAAGGAGTTTTTACCTGATATGATGGTTTCAAGAAGCTCGTCGGTCTTCTCTGACGTCAGCAGAGCGTACGCCTGATCCTGGGTGAGACCGAACATGTCCTCCTGTGGCGTGCGCATGCGAAACACCTCGTGGAACAGCTCCGCGCGGTTACCACCATGCGAAGTTTGGTCAATTGGGCGAAAGTAACCCACGCCTGGCCGCAGAACCTGGAGGATCAAGTCGGAAGGTTCCAGGCCGTCCAATTATCGTACAGAAAGACCGTGGTTACTTCTGTCCATGCGTACATCCGTTCTACCATGTTTAGTTCACGCCAACGATGCTTTGAATCATGATAGATCATTCAGAACATGGTTCCTTCACTTCATGGATACTTGGTTGGGACCACGGCTTTCGCTTACCTGCAGCGCGTGAATGAGTCCGATGCTGAGAGCGGCGGAGCTCAGAGGTGCACCCACGCTGCAGACAAGGAGACGGAGCGGCGGGAAGGGCGGTGTGAAGAATGACAAAGACGACGCATTCGCATTTCGGAGCGTGACGCAATCACAATGCCCGTCGACAGTGCCCTGTGAGGCAAGCTTTAAAAAAACTACACCTGACGGATATGCATGTGTGCTCACGACTCCAGGGTGCTACTAGGTGACGCTAGCAGCAATTGACGGTGCTCGATTGTCGACGGTGCTCAAAAGAGACGGAATTGGCGACTCCTGAATTATATTATCCCTAGAAGAAGGAGGTCGTTCGAACGTACTCGGCGTGGTGGAGATAAATAGAGCCTTCGAATTGGTGCGGCTTCTTGGAGTGCGACGCACCCACATTGCCAGGCGAGCTGCTCCTGCTCGAGCCACTGATTGATCGGCTCTGCTGATCGGACGAGCCTGCTACCTTCGCTCCGTCGCCGGCTTTCTCTTCTCTACCTACTCCGCTCGCGAAACTGCTCAAGGCTCGTCTTTGAGCAGCAGAAACGATCCGAGGACCTGCGCTAATTCCGTCGAGGGATCGGTGCAACCCGTGTGTTTCCGACAACCCGACCGACGGGACGGCTTCAGGAAACACCTGCGCTTGCGATTGGTACTTTCGGCAGAGATCGCTCCATCGGCCTCGCGCGACGTTCGCTGACGAGAAATTAAAACTGTAACCCGATTGGCCGCGAGTTTGGCCGTTACGCGCTTTGCTAGCTTGCTGCACCAGCCGCTTCCCTAACAATCTGAGCATGGCTGCTGCGACTGCGATGTGTCTGTGTAACAACTGAGAATCAATGCGATGTGTCTGTGTCTGTGACTGCGATGTGTCTGTGTCTGTGTCTGCGATGTGTCTGCGTTACGGTCTGCTAGCAATGCGCGAAAGCTCGGAAGGCCAGGAGTTTACAATCAAGGACAGGCCAAGGCGATGGACGCCAAGGTTACTCGGAAGTCTCTGTCAGTGTCAGAGAACGGGGCAGGGCAGCAAGAGCAACCCTTGGGAGTATCTACTGCTAGCTTCGGAGCGGAGAATATTGATGAGTGAGTGACTGGAGTTCGGTCCAGGGACAACCGTCCCAAGTAGAGCGCTAGAAGCCCCCAAGGGCATGCCCATTGATTGCTGCCCCTGCCTTGTGTTCCCTAGAACCTGTCGGAGGAGGTTTCAAGAAGTCCTTGATCCGTTTCAAGGAGCTCGGATATTCATCTTTGTAAGCTGCGGAAGGTGTAAGATAATCTATTGCATAAAAAGAACTTCGAGTACATTTACGATTGGTCAAATAAAGCATCCAGTCATGCCTCTGATTGGATGGTTGGGCTATTGGGCTGTGCTGCTTCGCCTCGCAAGATTCTTGGGGCTGACGCCGAGAATCGGGGCACACGTCCGCCACAAGCCCAGCCACATCGGAAAATCAACGCCACGTCACACCACAGCAAGCATCTCTGAATTCCTTCCATCCTTTCTGCTGCCTGCCTGTCTGATGCTGCACTGCTAGCTGAACTGAATTCATAAAACAGTTTCTGGTGGAGCCTTGAGTCAATTGTAGTCAGGCTGGGTCAGCCGCTGATCCTCACCAGCTATTAGTGTCATCCCCTGCCATTAATTCTTCCTAACTTTGCAGTCGCGTTTCCTGTTTTTGTTCTGAGCTCGCCAAGCCTCGTCAAGTCATAGCTTTCTCGTGAAAGCTAAGCATGGCGAAGTCGAAGACGATTCTCGTGCTCAATGCCGGGAGCTCGTCTCTCAAGTATGTCTCTCATGCTTCCCAGGCCATGAACCGCCTGCTGTTCTGGAAAACCCATATTTTCCGCCTCGGTGAATTTTAGCAGACTCAAAATTGACACTTGTTTACAAGAAAGCAATGCCGTTACTATCCAGCCTGGCATTTTGTTAATGCCTCTTTAACCAAAGCGCTTTATTTCGTCCGTCCATGTTCACGTGTCTGAAGGTACGCGCTGTACGAATTCGCGGATGCGCTGAAGGCGAAGCTGGCGGTGTCGGGCCTGGTGGAGCAGATCGGCACTCCCAAGGGCGTCATCACGCACAAGGCCCTCTCCACCAACCAGACCATCCATGAGGTCAGCCGCCGTCACTTCCGTCGCCTCCGTCGCGAATTGTGCAGCCGCCTCCGAATAATCCGCTCTTTTTCCTCTCTCCACATCCTCCTGTTCAGCCATCATTCTCGTTCGTTCAACTACTCAGCTTGCTCCATGTAATGAGTCTGCGTGTTTCTTCACCCTCCCTGTCTTATTTTACTATTCTTTAGAAAGCGGTGTTCAGCGACCACAAGGAGGCCATGTCGCACGCGCTGAAGCTGATGGGGATCAGCAAGGGCAGCAGCGCCGTGACGGCAGTGGGGCACAGAGCGGTGCACGGCGGTGAGGAAATCAACAAGTCGTGCATCATCACGGATCACGTGAAGGACGTGCTCAAGAAATTCACGCCGCTCGCCCCGCTGCACAACCCGCCCAACCTCCAGGTACGGCCTTGAACATTACTGGACGCAGACCCCGCATCACTGCACGGAACCGCGCTGAACCTCATGCCAATGTGCTGCACCGCATGAAGTGCTGCAAATTTTCACACCAGACATGTTTCTGGAATGCGTAGTGCTTCTTGAAGTGCATGCAACAACCTGATTCCACACAGCCTTCGCCAAAAATGATAACATGGTGCGGGATGGACAAAACACTCCAACATACAATCCCACCTGTGCAAGCTACCCCAACCATTGCAAGCACGAAGGCTTGCAAAATACCTCGCATAGCCCCTCTTATTCACAAGGACCAGGCCATTCACCAGATTCATCTGTGGGTTGATCCAGGCGTGTCTCGTCCCACTCCACCTTTCCCTGTGTTTCCCGTGTCTGCCTTTCGAGATCCCTGAACACCACCCACTTCCGCACCTATGTCATCTCCCCACCCCATTTCTGCCATAGTAGGGCATGGCGGTGGGATGGGGCAGGAGCTGCTGCAGTCTCGCAGGTGGTCTGCTAAGTTGCCAGATCCAAAATCCATGCACTGTAGCTCCCTTACTCTTCCCTCCATTTCCCATCTCACAACCCCTCCCCTTCTGACGGTCGGCCAGGGCATGGCAGTGGCGCAGGAGCTGCTGGACTGTCCGCAGGTGGCGGTGTTTGACACGGCGTTCCACAGCACCATCCCGCCATACGCCTACACGTACGCGCTGCCCTACCGCCTCTACAAGGAGTTGGGGGTGCGCCGCTACGGCTTCCATGGCACCAGCTACATGTACCTGCTCAGGGAGACGGCCAGGCAGCTGGGGAAGAAGGAGAGCGAGATGAACATGATCACGCTGCACCTGGGCGCCGGTGCCAGCATGGCGTGCATCAAGGAGGTGAGTGGTTCAGCGTTGCTGGAAGGCTCAGTGCGTGAGTGGCTGTTTGAGTCGCTTCATAAGACGAGGAGCAAGATGAATATGATCACACCTGGGAGGCATGGCATGCATCGAGTTGAATGAGTCAAAAGAATCTATGGAATATAATTGCTTCTGTGTGGCTTGGCTTGTGACGTCATTTCATTCTCGTTCACCCATTCAGATGTGAACCTTGCTTTTTCCCGTCAGTTTTCTTCCTTGCCGTCTGCAGGGTAAGTGCATTGACACCACGATGGGAGTAACCCCCCTGGAAGGCCTTCTAATGGCCACTCAGTGCGGCGACATCGACCAGCCATCTCCAAGATCCTCTCCGACCTGCAGGGCCTCTCCTCCTCTCAAATAGATCGCTCCTCAACAAAGCTTCTCTTTCCCTGTTTTCATTTTTCTCCCTGGTTGCGTGCAGGGTAAGTGCATTGACACCACGATGGGAGTAACCCCCCTGGAAGGCCTCGTGATGGCCACTCGGTGCGGCGACATCGACCCAGCCATTCCCAAGATCCTCTATGACCTTCAGGGCCTCTCCCCGGCTCAAATCGACTCGCTACTCAACAAGGAGTCCGGGCTAGTTGGCATCTGCGGGGACAAGGACATGAAAGCAGTAGTAGACCGCGCTGAAGCCGCTGAAGCTGCATGCATACCCGCAGGGGATGACCTGGAAGATGGCGGCCGGCACCGGCTTGCTCTCGAGGTGTTTGTTCACCGGGTGAGGAAGTATTTAGGAGCGTATTTGGTGCAGCTGGGAGGGAAGGTGGACGCTATTGTGTTCAGTGCGGGGATTGGGGAGCGATCGGCGCCGGTGCGTGCGCGGGTGTGCGCAGGATTGGAGGCGTTTGGGATTGAGGTGGATAAGGCGAGGAATGAGGAGGCAAGCAAGGGTGCGAGGGAGATCTCGGTGGCAGGGGCGAAGATCAAGGTGATGGTTGTGCCGACTGATGAAGAGCTGTGCATCGCACAGGAGACCCTACGTGTGGTTGACGAGGCTCGCAAGGAAGAGTAGGATGGAAGCAAATCGCTCTCTGCAATTACATTAATACTTACAAACGTGGCATTCTTTTATACAGTACTAGTGCTAATTATGAGATCATGCAATTGCTCAAGCTGATAAACTCAACATACAATTTGAATGTCTCTCAATGACAACGCTACATAATTCTGCATTCACTCAATAGCCGGGCATAAATTCGTGACGTGGCACCTGGTGGTCCTTTCCCTTGGGAATTCCTCAACCACGAATTGCCCGTTGCTGACTTCGAAACACCCGCGCTGAATTTCCCCCCTTGTTGCTGCTCAGCTTCTACCTTCTCACAACAAGCTGTGATGATCAGATGCTTTTCCTCTAGCGTCTTGAGGTAAAGCAGGAGCCAGGTTACATCTCCCACACCAGAAACTCTGTCGCCGTTTGCGGAGTCGGGCAAGCTCTGAAAAGAGTGCGACCAAGTGCCGCTGTTTGGACTTTCGTCTCGGCCCTGATACGCTGATACCAGCTGAGACCGCGAACGGCGTTCGTCGTTCCATGTCAACCAGTATGAACTGGACGGCGGCTGGCCGATGTGTGCCGGCGCTGAGAGTCGCAGCCGTGCGTCTGCGCCAATCGATGCTCCCCGCTCAGGCGATTCGCCGCCTCGGCAGTCCCGCATCGCCTGGAAGCATCGCCGGATGCACGCAAATAAGAATTGACGGCTGTAGTCGATCGATCCACGGCTTTGGCCAGCAGCGATTTTTGCGGAGACATCTGGAGCACTCATCGACTGCCCTTGCACACGTTGCACCTTCTGATAGGCGGAGTCGAAATGTACGCTGCTTGGCTTCTAGTGCAACTGGCGACGGCGGAGCGACGGCTGGAGCCGAGTCAGCAGTTGCGGACGTGGCAGCCGTTTCGTTAGCTGAAGCAGCAGCTGACGTGGAACAGACGAGTGAGCAGAAAGCGGAGAGCGTGGCTGCTGGGAGCGGAAATGCAGGCGCGGGGAGGCGCAAGGAGCGGCGGATGGTGAAAGAGTTTAAGAAGCGGTTGAGAATCGCGGATATCAAGAACGGACCGGACGAAGGGATGGATCAGGTACAAACTGAGGAAGGCATATATGAGATGCTAAGGTGTATGTGATGTGATCATGTGTGTATCATGTATCTGTGAATGGAGGTGAGCGGTTGTTGGAGATGAAGATGGGTTTTGCAAGTGGATTGTTTAGTGGGGTTCATATTGGTCTCGTATGATTCCCAGTCCGTGTGCCTGAGATGGAAATAAATGCCGCAGAAGGGGTTTGTGCCAGTGAATGCTGTCTGAAAATGTTCCTTGCTGCCTGATTGGTTGATGCAGGTTGGACGCCACGTGGAGCTCCGTGGTTGGGTGCGAACTGTGCGCTCGCAAAAGGCCTTCTCTTTCATTGAGGTGAGTGAATCCACATTCTTATGCAATGTGATGCTATGTAATGTAATGTGATGTGATAGCAAACCCATGACGTGCTTTTACCTTCACTCTCCTCTCCTGCTCTCTCTTCTTTCTCCCTCTCGTTCTTCCTGCGTCTCATATGTCCCGATCATGCCGTTAACCCTCGATCCTCTACCTCTCCTCACCCCTCTTCTTTCTCCCCATTCCCATATCGATCCTGTTCCCACACTCTACTCTTTCCTCACCTTCCCCCCCTCCCCGCCTGTTCCCCCACATCCCTCTTCCAAACCCCCGCGCTAATCTTCTCTCCTTCGCCCCTCCCCACCTGTGCCCGCCACCCAGCTCAACGACGGTTCGTCCCTCTCAGGCATCCAGGTGGTGGCCACACCTGAGATTGAAGGCTATCAGGAGGTAACAACAGAAGCTGTCAGGAGGTAACAACAGAAGGTTGCTAGGAGGTAACAACTGAACGGTATCAGGAGGTAACAGCAGAATGCAGGCAGGAGGTAAAAACCGAAGCTACCAGGAGGTAACAACAAAATGGCTACCAGGAGGGAATTTGAGAGCTAACAGCAGATACAGCATCATGAGCAGTGTAGATAGCGAGCAACATATGGTAAACACAATTCTCAAGTTTTGTTTTCTTTTCAAAAAGCCAGAGACCAATCACTTCACCAGTGCCCAAGATCAAGTCCTCCTTGCTCTCTCCTGTTTTGCTCTTGTCCCTGCGGTCATCCCACCAGGTGGAGGGGGGCGGCATTACCACAGGGGCTGCAGTATCAGTGGAGGGCGAGGTGGTGGAGAGTCAGGGCAAGGGCCAGAAGATTGAGATCAAGGCTCAGAAGCTTACTCTTGTACGTGCTGGGTGATGTGCACACAAGCTCACTCTCTCTTCGTAACTTACTTGCATGGACACATTATCTGCAAAAGAAAGGTGGCACCTAGTCGTCTCATTATTCAGTGCCTCTTCTTTACTCTGTGGGGTTTTTTTGTAAATTTCTTCGTGAGTGTTCCATGCTTTGGTGACAAATACTGTTGTAAAGAACAAACTCTTTTGCAATACTTTTCCTGACAACTTTTCTCCATATGTGTATGTATGTTCGTTTTCTCCCTCGTGCAGGTGGGTGGCAGTGATGGCAGCACATACCCACTGCAGAAGAAGCGGCACTCCTTGGAGTATCTTCGCACCATTGCACACCTCAGACCTCGCACCAACACCATAGGCGCTGTGAGTTTGAACATTTAGACCAACCAAGGGATGGAACTTAGTGAAAGCACTTTGAACAGAAAATGCTGCATTGCATCCCTTGGGATATCTTCACACCATAGCACACCTCAGGCCACGCACCAAAAGCGTTGTCTATACCTCAACAAGTTTTCCCCCACTCCACCACTCTCTCACTTCAGGTGTCTCGCGTGCGCAGTGCACTAGCACAAGCGTCCCACCGCTTCTTCCAGTCGCACGGCTTCGTGTGGGTGGCATCACCCATCATCACTGCGTCTGATTGTGAAGGGGCCGGCGACCAGTTCCGAGTCACCACGCTGGTGGGTGGGGCTTTGGGGTTGGGTGTGTGGTTGAGGGTGTGTGGGTGTGGGTAGGTGCTTGCAGGGGAAGGAGTGCATATGTGTGGGGCAGAGATGGCTGGCATCGCCCATCATTACTGCGTCTGACTGTGAGGGGGCTGGTGACCAGTTCCGTGTGACCACGCTGTTGGGTGCCGAGCCGATAGGGGGGTTGTGTTTGTGGGTGCCTGCCTACCTGTGTGCACACATGGGAAACTGGGTGCTCATTCACTTTGTGTGGGTGGCATCACCCATCATCACTGCGTCTGACTGTGAAGGGGCCGGCGATCAGTTCCGAGTCACCACGCTGGTGGGTGGGCTTTTGGGGTGGGGGTTCTGGGGTTGTGTGTGGGTGGGGGTTCTGGGGTTGGGTGTGTGGGTGGGGGTTCTGGGGTTGGGTGTGTGGGTGGGGGTTCTGGGGTTGGGTTTGTGAGTGGGGGTTTTGGGGTCGGGTGTGTGGGTGGGATGGGGGGAGGGTGCATGTGTGAGGAGAGGGTGAGTGGCATCGCCCATCATCACTGCATCCGATTGCGAGGGAGCTGGCGATCAGTTCCAAGTGATCACACTCGTGGGTGGCGATGGGTGATTGTGGGTGGAGGTGGGGATGGGTGGGTGTGGGTAGGTGCTGGGGAAAGGATGCATGCATGTGTGTGAGGGAGTGGGAGGCAGTATGATGGTATCGCCCACCATCACTGCTTCAGACTGTGAAGGGGCAGGCGAATCAGTCTCATTTGAAGAGACTTTTGAGAATTCTAAAATATGACCGCGCTGGTGGTTCGGGGGTGGCGGGTTGGGTGTGTGCTGTGCTGTGTGTGGGCGACCATGGCTGTGGGCTTCAAGGGAATCGACTACAGCCGCCACCCCACCATGCGCTTCAAGTGCTGCCCATCTCTTCACCCTTCCCTTCTCTCGTATTGCACAGATGAACTGCAAAAGGTCTGCCTTTCGCTCTATCCCTATTGCCGCCTTTCTCCATTCTGTTCCGACTCCCTTATCTGCCAAACCGGCAACCCCCAAGTGCCTCCTCTCCACAACTCACTATCCCATCATGCTCCCCCATGTCTCCACCCCTGTTATTGCCTTTCCCCATTCCATTCCATTCCAACTCCCTCAGATGCCAGGCAACCCAGATGCGTCCACGCCAGTCAAGGCCATCCCCACCAACAAGGACGGATCCGTGGACTGGTCCCAGGTGAATGACGTGGCACAGGTGAATGACGATGCACATGTGAATGACGTGGCACAGGTGAATGACGTGGCGCAGGTGAATGACGTGGCACAGGTGAATGACGTGGCACAGGTGAAGGACGTGGCACAGGTGGATGACGTGGCACAGGTGGATGACGTGGCACAGGTGAATGACGTGGCACATGCAGGCTTGTACATTATGTCTGTGACTCTGTCTGTCGTGCCTTCTGAATTCAGTCGCTGACAATGCACACAATGTGCATAGAGTGTAGACAACGCATACCCTACCTGACTGTGGCTACCCTGCACCTCTCTGTACCGCACTGTACCATGCGTGCACTGTGTGTTCTTCTCACAGGATTTCTTCAAGCGCCCGGCGTATCTCACAGTGTCAGGGCAACTGAACGCGGAGATCTACGCGTGTGCCCTGCACGATGTGAGTTAGAATATTCCCCTTAACGTCCTACACCCTCCCTCCCTCCATCCTCCCGCTGCACAATTCTCTATGCTCCTCAAAAGCACACTGCATATCTCACAGTGTCAGGGTAGCTGAATGCGGAGATCTGCGCGTGCGTCCTGCACGACGTGAGTGAGAGTCTGACTGTGAGGCCATGCTCTTTAGCATCCTCCTCCATTCGTTTTTCAGGATGTTTACTAGTATTCTTAAAAACACCCTGCAACATCTACGCAAGCGCCCTCCACGATGTGAGTGAGAATAAGCTCTTCAGCATCCTCCTCCCTCCATCCTCCTCCCTCCATCCTCCTCCCTCCATCCTCCTCCCTCCATCCTCCTGCACGATCTTTTAGGCGCCTTAACCGAATGGTGTCGCATCTCTGACAGTATCGGGGCAGCTGAATGCAGAGATCTATGCATGTGCGCTGCCCCTCTTTCCTCCACGTCTCCATTCCATGCCTCCCCCCTTCCTCGCCTCTCCCCTCCACGCATCTTTCCCTACACGCCTCTCTCCTACACGCCTCTCTCCTCCACGCCTCTCCCTACCATCCCTTTCCCCAGGTGTACACGTTTGGCCCCACATTCCGAGCAGAGAACTCCAACACCTCACGCCACCTCGCCGAGTTCTGGGTAAGCCTCAGTGATTTGGTTCTGGCTTGCTGCATGCTCTTCACCTAGGCCCCAGTTTCAAAACCGAGGTGACTTTTGAGTCAACTCAAAAGTCGGCTTGCAGCATGCTCTTCACCTAGGCCCCAGTTTCAAAACCGCCTCTGCTTCCCCAACTTGCCCATCCCTTTCCATTTTCACTCGCCCCTCCCTCCTTATTTACAATACTTCTCCATCCTTCGTTCTCTCCCATCCACCCCCCTTCCAACTCCTCGTCCTCCTCATCACCATCAGATGATCGAACCTGAGCTGGCATTTGCTGACCTGGCAGATGACATGGCATGTGCCACGGCATACCTCAAGTACATTGTGAGCACAGCAGATTACAGCATAAATGCATGCACCCATGTTCATGTGCATATATGCACCATGCCCATGCCCATGCCCATGCCCATGCCCATGCCCATGCCCATGCCCATGCACGTGTTGGTAGGACAAGCTTTCAAAGTCGTACAGGGGATTAGGAAGAACCAGAAGGAAGGTTCTGCCGCTATCCTCGCTTCTCCCTCCTCTCTCCTCACTGCTCTCCTTGCACCCTCTCTCCCCTCCTCGCCTTCCTCCTCCCTCTTCCAGCTCCACGAGGCCATGAGCGAGTGTGCAGAGGACTTCAGATTCTTTGACAAGTTTGTCGAGCCGGGGATCATCCAACGGCTCACGGTGAGAGATTGGGCAATCCAACGGTCGCAGAAACAAGATGTGTGCATTGTCATTGAGGCATCAATCCGTTTATCTAGCTGTCAGCCTGAAAGTTGCTGCAGGGAATGCATTCCTTTTCGAACCTTCCCACCACCTTTTCTCTTTCCCTAATGCCTCATTTGCTTAGTCCTTGCTGTCTAGTACCTCTCCGTGTTACCTCCTCCCTGCTTACTGCATGGTTGAAACGTAGAGTGAGCTTGAGCATGTGCTGTGAGGTGTTCTCTAAGTTTAGTTTACTCAAAATACACCTGTTTCCCTCCATGTGCCCATGCCACAGTCGATGGCGGGAGTGAGCTTGAGCATGTGCTGTGAGGTGTTCTCTAAGTTTAGTTTACTCAAAATACACCTGTTTCCCTCCATGTGCCCATGCCACAGTCGATGGCGGGAGTGAGCTTGAGCATGTGCTGTGAGGTGTTCTCTAAGTTTAGTTTACTCAAAATACACCTGTTTCCCTCCATGTGCCCATGCCACAGTCGATGGCGGGAGTGAGCTTGAGCATGTGCTGTGAGGTGTTCTCTAAGTTTAGTTTACTCAAAATACACCTGTTTCCCTCCATGTGCCCATGCCACAGTCGATGGCGGGAGTGAGCTTGAGCATGTGCTGTGAGGTGTTCTCTAAGTTTAGTTTACTCAAAATACACCTGTTTCCCTCCATGTGCCCATGCCACAGTCGATGGCGGGAGTGAGCTTGAGCATGTGCTGTGAGGTGTTCTCTAAGTTTAGTTTACTCAAAATACACCTGTTTCCCTCCATGTGCCCATGCCACAGTCGATGGCGGGAGTGAGCTTGAGCATGTGCTGTGAGGTGTTCTCTAAGTTTAGTTTACTCAAAATACACCTGTTTCCCTCCATATGCCCATGCCACAGTCGATGGCGGGAGTGATCTTGAGCATGTGCTGTGAGTGATCAGTGATGTGCTTTAACTGAACTCAAAACGCACCTGTTCCCTTCTGTGTGCCCAATGCCCGATCCCCAGTCGGTGGTGGAGAGTGAGTTTGAGCATGTGCCGTACACGGATGTCATCAGCATCCTCAAGAAGGCCATCAAATTCGAATTTGTATACATGCATCTGTTCCTCATGATCCCTGTTTCTCGTGTCCCCATCTCCCCATTCCCCAGTCGGTGGTGGAGAGTGAGTTTGAGCATGTGCCGTACACGGATGTCATCAGCATCCTCAAGAAGGCCATCAAATTCGAATTTGTATACATGCATCTGTTCCTCATGATCCCTGTTTCTCGTGTCCCCATCTCCCCATTCCCCAGTCGGTGGTGGAGAGTGAGTTTGAGCATGTGCCGTACACGGATGTCATCAGCATCCTCAAGAAGGCCATCAAATTCGAATTTGTATACATGCATCTGTTCCTCATGATCCCTGTTTCTCGTGTCCCCATCTCCCCATTCCCCAGTCGGTGGTGGAGAGTGAGTTTGAGCATGTGCCCTACACCGATGCCATCAACATTCTCAAGAAGGCCAAGACCAAATTCGACTACCCGGTCAGTTGCTGCTGTTGGTTCAATCTGCCAGCCAGCCATTTGCTGGCTTTGTAACCCATTTCAAGATGCTAAAGTGATTCGCTTGTTCATGCAATTTGCATGGGAGGTAAAGGAAAGAAAATTGCAACCTGAAAAGCAAACTCACTGATGCTCGCATGCTAATCTGTTCATGCTGCATGCAGGTGGAGTGGGGCATTGACCTGCAGAGCGAGCACGAGAGGTACCTCACAGAGAAGGCCTTTAAGAACCGACCCATCGTTGTCACTGACTATCCCAAGGTAAGTAGACGGCCTACTGAGCCTTCAATTCAGCCATCCTTTGCACGAAACTTCAAAATGGCCTTTGAGTCGACTCAGCTCCATTTTGCCCGCATTGATCTGAGTAAGTTTCACACATGTAATCTCACGCACCCACTCTTCCCACTGATGATCAGGACATCAATGCATTGTACATGCGGCTGAACGATGACGGCAAGACCGTTACTCCACGGTGCAAGCACCACATTCCCCCGCCCTCCCTTCCTCGTGCCTTACTGCTCTCTTTCCCTGCCTCCCGCACATGCATCAGGACATAAAGGCATTCTACATGCGACTCAACGATGATGGCAAGACCGTAGCAGCAATGGATGTGCTCGTGCCTAGGGTGGGCGAGCTGATTGGGGGCAGTCAGAGGGAGGAGCGGCTGGAGGTCTTGGAGGGGCGCATGAGGGACGTGGGGCTCGACCCACAGGCCTACTGGTGGTACCTCGACCTCCGCAGATACGGCTCAGGTAGGTTCCGTGCGGTTCAGATGGTTTTGCTTCAAATCTGGTGGAATAGGTGGTTCAAAGTGCATGTGAACCCGTCAAGCCTTTTTTCTCCCATTCCCATATTTGTGGTTTGGGCTGGGCTTTGAGCAGCTGGTGCAGTTTGCAAGGGTTGTGGATTTGACACGCATTCTCATTTGAAAACCCATTTATCCATCTTACCTGTCCTCTCCCTCCTCCCCACCCTCTCTCTCCACTCTTTCCCTCTGCACTTCCTTTTCCTCCCATTCTCCTCACAGTCCCCCATGCAGGGTTTGGGCTGGGATTTGAGCGGCTGGTGCAGTTTGCAACGGGCGTTGAGAACATTCGCGATGCCATCCCCTTCCCTCGCGTGCCTGGATCAGCAGACTTCTGATTTTTTTTTTTGGAATGAGCAATGAAAGTGTTAGTTTATCAATAAAGATTGGTCCATAAGGAGAGCTTACACCCGTGGTGTTAATTATCATTTAGAAGTTGAAGTACTGGAGTTACTTCATTTGCATTGGGATGGCAAACTAGTACCTAAGAATAAAATGCACTTATCCACACACTAACAGCTGTATTGCAAATAGGGTAACCATCTGTCTGTGCGACGATGCCAACAAACTTTCGTCTAAGGTATATCCCAGTTTTTGGCGGGCTGTCAGACACAGCAATTAAAAGTAGCTATTCTAGGGAGTTCGTATAGAATCCGCTATGTATTTGCGGTACCTAATTTCTCGCGTCCTACTACTATAGCTCGTTCTTGCACGCACCGTTCAAGCGTTTAGAAAGGAGGATCGTCGGAGCAAGTCTGTGCAAAGTGCAGAAGCAGCGGCTTGGATAGTGACATTTGTTCTCACTCACATTTGTTTCAGGTGAGTGCGTAGCGGGATACCGATTCCGTCTTAGTCGCATCCCCCCTCTCGCGTCTGTCCTAGTCGCGAAGATCTCGCAGGTTCACGCTTCCAGTTTTAGGGTTACCGTTACGGCTCAGGAAGCGTGCTCAGAATTTACGATGTTCGATGAATATGCGAGATACGTTCCACGACACTCTTCTATTCGCTGCATGTCTGGTTGGTTCGTTCAGATTCTTCGTTAGGTAACAGAACAGTAAACGAACGGAAGGGACGAGCATTGAGGCGCCTCAAAACCGGCAGAAACGGAAGGGGGGAGAAAGGAAGTCGCGTTTCGAGAAGACGGGCGAGACGGGGAAGACGGGGAAGACGGTTCAGGAGGGCCAGTGGCCGTGGCAAGAAAGCATATAACGTCGCATGGTGGGTGTGTCGTGGTCGTGGCAAGAAAGCGTATGTTGGGTGTGTCGCATGGTGGGTGTGTCCCATGAATGAAGGGTGTTTGTTGTCTTGGTTTTGCCATCACCCCTATCTTTCATGTTGTTTGATTTCTCCCTTTCTTAGAGCTCCCTCACAACAAGCCTGGCGCCAGGCTGTCTGCCGCCACCACCTCACCACTCATATTTTCCGCAGATTCTTTTCAATTTCACCTCAAATTTCAGCTCGGATTCTTCCCATCTATTGCTGACAGCCCTAAACCTCTCTTTCCACCTCCCTCTGTCTACCCACCAATTCCCTGCCTTGTGCTCATCCCATCACCTCAGGCGTCGCGGTCGCGGTTGTTCAAGGAGTTGAAGGAAGCGCAGAAGGAGGCACGAGGATCAGCCGATGCTGACATCATACTCAGTTGCGACGAGAGCAACATCTACAGATGGACGGCCCTCATCAAGGTAGAGTTCAATGGACGGCTGTGATGAGAGCATCATCTACAGATGGACGGACCTCATCAAGGTTTGCAGGATCGGATGGTTGTGATGAGAGCAACGTTCACAGATGGATGGCTTTCATCACTGTACCTGTTACCGGCTGTTGAGATGTACACCTCCTCCTCCTCCTCTCTCTGTCATTTGTAAGAATCAGCAGTTCACTCGAATCTTTCCTCAAATTCCTCGAATCAGCAATGATGTGATTAAGATGATTAGCAAGTCACTCGAATCTTTCCTAGCAATGGTGGGATCAAGAGGTTGGTCGCTGATGTCATTCGTTGTCAGGTTAACACCTGCCCACTCAAATTGCATCTTACTACACCGCCGCATCGTATAACCTGCCCCCCCTTCCTCGCCCCCGTCCCTGCCTTCTCCGACCGCCCACCCTTGCCCCCCCTGTTCTTTTCCCAGGGCCCAGCTGACACGCCGTATTACGGAGGGCAATTTACCCTCACGATCAACGTGCCACAGCAGTACCCCCTTGTGCCGCCCCAAGTGCGGTTTGCTACCAAGGTCTTCCACCCCAATGTGCACTTCAAGGTGTGTCAACGCTGAGTCAACTCAAGTCAACCAAGGTCTTCCATCCTAACATTCAGTCAATTCAAGTCAGAAGAACTTTTACCCCAACGTGCACTTAAAGGCCAGTCAACGCCGAGTCAACCCAAGTCAATTAAAGTCTTGACCACGCCATGCCATGGCCATACCCTGCCATAACCATGCCCTGCCTTGGCCATTATGCCCCTAGGCCATTATTCACATCTATGTGCCATGCCATGCCATGCCATGCCATCATCGCCCTCTCTACATTACTTACTCCCCAACCGCCCCGCCCACCTCCTGCCAAACAATGCCGTGCAGACAGGAGAGATCTGTTTAGACATCTTCAAGACTGCATGGAGCCCGGCTTGGACCCTCACGTCTATGTGTCATGCCACCATCACTCTCTCACTTACTTACCCCCCATCCAACCCCCTCAACCCCCACTTTCCCCCACCCACACCATGTCAATCAGACGGGGGAGATCTGTCTGGACATCCTCAAGACCGCATGGAGCCCCGCTTGGACCCTCACATCTGTCCGTCATGCCATCATCACTCTCTCCCTTTCTTTTCCCCTCCCGCTGCTCCCCTCGTGCCGTGCAGACGGGGGAGATCTGTTTGGACATTCTCAAGACCGCATGGAGCCCTGCCTGGACCCTCACATCTGTCTGTCGAGCCATCATCACCCTCCTCTGCCACCCTGAGGCTGACAGCCCATTGAATTGCGACTCAGGTGACGCACGCTTGCACGGGTCTAGCGTACTGTGTACATTCCAAGGCCCAGTATCCATGTGTCCAGTTGAGACCTACCAGCCACTTCTCAAGTCCCTTCTACCAGTCCCTCTGATGTCTCTCCCGCGCGTGAACATACCGCTCCTCGTGTGTCTCCCCCATTGGTCCCCATCCCTCTGCAGGCAATCTGATTCGAGCAGGGGACAACCGAGGCTACTGCTCCATGGCCCGCATGTACACTAAACTCCACGCCATGCCGCCCGCAGCCAGATGAGGTCCATTTGGCTCGCATGTGAACTCCACGCCATGCCATCCACTATACGGTAATATGAATCTTTAAGGTGTCCCGTTCCGTGTAGCTTGCATGTACACTACACTCCACTCCATGCCGCCAGCAACCAGCTGAATCTTGGAGGTGCTAGATGTTCCTTGTGGCTCGCATGCACACCAGACTCCACATCACGCCGGCCGCATCTAGGCAACCTTGAAGTCTTCGGGTGTTTCCCATGGGTAACATGTATGGCATGCTAATTCGAACGATATGCTGCATGGTATCATTATATGCATGGGTTATGTCAGCATGAGCGCTCAGGATGTGTGACTTTGAATAAATGTAAAGTTTGCTGCGAGTGATGCTTCATAGTTCAGTGAATCAGCTGGGTAATCAAATGGTGCACGTGCAATGAGAAATGTTGTAATTTTCATATTACACCATGCATGGCTTGACATTGGATTATTGGTTGGAAGCTTGTTGCATTGTGTATGGAAAAGCAAGCTGTCAGAGGTGAAGTGGGCAGATGTTGAGAAAATTTTCACCAGGCGTCCCTTCAGCAGGTGTCACTTAGTTGTCGCTCCACAGCTTCCAGAGATATTGGTGCGTGTAGCTGAGTGCGGGGTTGGAGGTGATGGGGTGTGGGTGTGAGGAAGTTTTGGGACACGTCAGAACAGAGGTATTGACGCATGTAGCTGTGGGAAGGAGGTGATGCGGTGTGGATATGGGAGAGGAAAGGCGATGGAGAATAAGCTCATGGAACATGGTAGGATGGAGAACATGGCAGCATGAAGGCGGCATGGCATGGAACAGATTATGTGGGGACCATGACGTGGCATGAGGTTCCAAAACATACCTGCATTGACAAGTTGCATAACCAGATGTCACAGCCATCACAACCCCAACTGTTACCTCCCTGCAACCCTACCCTCCAAACAACCCTCTCGGTCACAGCATCTTGTTACCTCCTTGGCAATTCTCAGCCAATCACAGGCTCTTGCAGGGCCATCGCCAGCCTTGGGAACTCCGTCATGGTTCCAGTAGGCGAAGGAGGAGAATCGCCCCACAGCCCGCCACTGTGCTGCATGTGGGAAAACCGCTTTCTCCTCTCCCTCCGCCTCTGTCTCTGTCTTTGCATCTGCCCTCCCCTCTGTACCTGCTTCTCCATCTACCCCCTGCCCTCGTTCCCCGTCTCTGCCGATAGAGCTGCTGCTTCTTTCCGTTTCCTCTCTCGTCCTAGCGCCGTCCATGGCTTGCCGTTTGAGAGGAGGCTCCACTACAGCTGCAGCTGCTGTTGCGTCTGATCGTCCCTTCTCCATCTTCTCCAGTATGAGGCCTGCAGGAGCAAAGGAAGGGACAAGGAAGTCAGGAGAGCACGTTGAAAACTAGGGTTTCATATCGTGCTGGCTGATGGTGAAGACTTTTGAGACGACTCAAAAGTAGAAAACTAGGGTTTCATATCGTGCTGGCTGATGGTGAAGTTGTTGCGAGAGTATGAAACGCATTCGTCAGCCATTGATTTCTCCATCACCTGTATAGCCGTCAGGAACGGCTAGGCGCCTTCCCAGAAGCCTCCTGCCTCTGAATGCGGCTTCCAGCGGTACTGTGCCATCCGCCATAGTCACATCTGCGATGATGACCGCAAATGTCGGAGGGGATGGTCAGATTGTTGCGCTATAGCGAACCTTGCGAATATTCTAATGAAGTCACAAGAGCGAACGGGAACAACCGTTACGAATTCAGGGTGTCCTCACATTTGGCTTCGAATGGACGGAAAAAACGCGATACGGCAGCTGGTCCGTTGTGCTCAATGCAGCAGGGTAGGAGATGCACGTCAACGTCAACGTCAACATTTGACTCAGAAACTGGCGTCTGACAGTTTCGACGCCGAGTAGTACTGCTGATCACCCTAATTTCGTCGGTTATGTCCATAGCTGGCTGAAGGAAGCTACGCGATGCGGAGGGCTGATAAAAGGAGCACAAGCAGATCCCAAGGAATTGGAGCGTAGTGTCGTTTGTCGCTGCTGGTATTGTCCGACGGGTTACCGATAACTTGAGCGATATTTGCGAAGTTCGATGTGAGCTTCTGGCGAACTTCTGCCTCATTGAACAGATAGATATTCATGGACGACAGGCCCTGTAGTTATGAAGGCTTCGTTTCTCATACAGGATCTGGTGAAGATGCTTCTGGCGGTGAATGTCGTGTTGCCGTGTCATCTGCCTAGAACGCTTGCTGCTCTCCGTTGAAGTCGCTACAATTGTACCGAGCCTGCGGAATCATGGAGGGTGAATCATCCGTCAAGAACCACGTGACAGATGGAACGCGGGAGGTGAGGATCTTTTGCTGATTTGGCGAAAAGGACACGTCAAACGCTTTGAGATGATCCTCCAAATAAAACCGACTTGTCAGCCTGTCGTATCCCCTCAAGCCAAGATCCGAAGGGGGCTGAGGAACAGTTATGTCGGGCATCGAAATGTTCAAGCTTGCCATTTCACTTGATGCTGAACCCTTGTACTGCTGCTGCTATTTCGATAAAGGTTTGGTGTAGTAGTGTAGCTCTCCAAGAACGGGTACACGAATCACACACTTGGAACCAAGTTGCCTGAATGGATGTTTCTAGATGTATTATTATTTTATTCGAGATTTGTGGGTGCTTCGAGAAATTATTATGCTTCGATACAACTTCAGGAAAGTCACTGTAGCTGTCCATCTGATCCCACGAACGATACACAGTGGATGAAACCAGGTAAAGCAAGACGATCTGGACGTAGCTTGTGTACATCCAGATGTCTTTCACTCTGCATTTGCTGCCGTGGCTGGCCAATGAGCTGGCGTACGCGGGCAACCCGTACAAACACAATGAAACGCGTCACGAGCGTAGGCACGAGGTCTGGTTCGATCTCACACTGCCCTGCCGCGAACATGGACAGTAGGATCTTCAGCATCATTACAGCTTCATCGCTTGCCACATAAGATCCAACGCTGTACCGGCCCACGTGGCAGGCGTATTCAACATGGGAAGATCTTCGCACATGGGTCCCTCGTGCGCGTCCCAGGTCGAGCCGCTGAATGCTGACCCAAATTTCCAAATCTCACATTCTTGGTAGGTTGGGGAAGGGGACGCGGCGCGGTACGGACGCTAGGGGAAAGTTGTGTACTGTATGTTGGTTGGGACAGGCGCCAGCTCCAGCCAAACAAACCTCTTGCACGGTGGGCAAGTCACGGAAGCCATTGCCAGCTGAGCTGACCTCAGCGTCGCCGAAGAGTCCTCGTGAGAATCCTTCGCTTCCTCAACAGCCAACGGTAGACGCGTCCTCAAGCTCGTTGCCTCTTTGAGTTCCACCGCCGCTGCTGTAGGTTCTTATACTACAGGGAAGGAATTATTCCTCATTATCGACAGTCCTTGCATCGACTTCCTTGTCATGTACTTGTCTTTGTCCGGTCAGAGCAAAAATCGGTCTCTTAGAGAGCAGTTCCTTCCCTAAACCATCTAGAACGTTGGTTGAGCCCTTTCAAAAAGTAAAATTCCTCATAGTAGAAGGTTATAGTAGTAAACTCCCACGGACTGATTCTAGTGTACTATTTATGGAGAACACGGACCCTGCGTTCTTACTACCCCACATTCAGACCCGGGGCGGCCCGCAGAACGCGCTCTACAGGTTCCGCGGGGTGCGCCAGCGCACGTGGGGGCGGTGGGTGGCGGAGATCCGCGACCCCGAGCGCAAGGTGCGCCAGTGGCTGGGCTCCTTCGCGACAGCGGAGGAGGCCGCGCGCGCGTACGACGAGGCGGCGCTGAAGCTGTACGGATCCGACGCGCACCTCAACTTCCCCCCGCCGCGGGAAAGCGATCCCGCAATTGGCGGCGCGCAGCGTCGCGCGGCGGAACCGGATCTGGACGTAGCACGGGAGAACTTCGACCGAGAAATGATCAAGGCTCGCCTTTCAGGCTTGAACGGCTTGGCTGACGGTTTCGGAAGCGTCACCGTGACGTCAGGGTTGACGGACCTGTCCAGGTTGACCGGATTGACTGGGTTGACTGGAATGACTGGATTGTCTGGATTGACTGGGTTGACTGGGTTGACTGCCAGTGGGTTGACAGGGTTGACTGGATTGACTTCAGCAGGCTTGAACAGGCTCCGGAACCACGGGGCGTCACCTGATGCTCTCAGCGACCCCATGTCGGAGGGCACATGGCGTCAGTTATCACCAGGAGCGCAGGCAGCGCTAGCAGGCATCGGCCCGGGCAGTCTAGTTGGCGTTGGCGCTGCTAGTGGTGGTGGTGCCCCCGGCCTCCTTGGAGGCGCTGGGGTTACTTCTGAGGGCGGTGTATCCAAACCGGCGGTCCACGGAGTGGCGGGTCACCTGGATGGAGTCCATGCTCTCGGGACGATGATGGCCATGGCTCCTCGCTCTGCCAGCGTGCCGAGCGGCAGCGCAACAAGCTTCACCGGCGAGCCTGCGAGCCCCGACCGAGTCGGCGTGGAGCTCCCTTTAGAGAAGGCCCACAGCCTCGACGCGCTCCCCTCGTTTCAAGCACAGTCTCCCAGCGTGGGATTCCAACGGGCGGTCACGGATCGCAGCGCGAGACTGGCCGGGGGTGATTCGCAGCAGGAGGAGGTGAAGTGGCAGCGGTACCAGCGGAAGCGGAGGGCCGTGGCGGAGGAGCAGAGGGAGATGCGCGAGCTGGAGGATCTGCTGGATAAGTACAAGCGGCGGCAGCAGGTGCGGCAGTTGCTGTCGGAGGCAGATATTGTGCACCAGCGAGAGATGCTGCTGCCGGGCCCACAGGAGGGGATACCCTCTGTGCTGCAGCAGCCACAGCAGACGCAGCAGCAGCAACGACAACTGCTGCTGCAGCCGCGGCTGCAGCAGGCACCTCAGCCTGGTTTTGGGGCTGCTGGAGAAGGTGCAACTATCAGAAGTGCTGCTAGCGTGAGCCGTGTTGGTAGATCGAGAAGTGCTGGTCTTCCAGGGAGCGCCGACGAGCTCCTAGCACAGGGTCTGGTGAGCAGCAAAGACATCGCCAGGTTTATCCTGGACCAGACGCTGTCATCAGGAGGGGTAGTGACAGACGCTGGCCCTTCCACTGCCCCGCACGCAGTTCGTGGAGCAGCACCAATGTTGCACACTGACCGAGCCAGTGTGCCGAATGGGTCTCCTCTCGTGTCACAGCAGTTGAGAGATGTGCACGGGCTGCTGCAAGTGACAGACTGCCACCTGGCATCGGCACTTGCCACTACGGGCATAAGTAGCAGAGGCCATAACGATGTTCATGGCCATGGGTTTGGAACGGGTGCTGGAGCACCAGGGGGGAGTGCAGCTGCAGGCACTGTAGCGCATCAACCACAGGGCTCTCACATCCCAGGGCCTCCAGGACTAAATGCTGCTCCACGCGTGCATCATCTACAGGGGGGCTCTTCTTCTTCCTTAATGGGTGATGCCATGGTTGGGGTACGTAACATGGCTAGTGGTCCACTATACATGGGACAAAGGGATGGAAACAATATGATGGACATTCCAATAGATGGTGTAGGTATTGTTGGGATCTCTCCCGAGATGGAGGACATTTCGGGTCTCATTGGTGAAGAGGCTGCGCAGATTTTACTCCAGGAGCTCCTGTGCAAAGGAGATATTGCAGTAGGCAATAGCCAGTGGGGCATTTGAGGAGAATAGGAATGATATAAGAGTGGGTGCATACATGCATCATCAGATATAGTAGTTAGTGTATGATTTGAATGGTATTATTATAATATTCCATTATGTCAAAGAACATTCGCGAAATGAGGTGCATTTTTTCGATTCGAAGTCCTACATGGCATAATCGTGTGTTCTAGAAGGGCGAGAGAGCGAGAGGGACGGTTCGCGAATTTCCTAAACGAACCGTGTTCCCACATCTTTCTCGGTTTCAGATTTCGCGAATGTCTGGCCGTGCGAGTGGCCCCCGTGCACTCTGTCACCATATTCCACCGCTCAGTAAGGTGTAACGTAACGCAGTTTACCGTCTAGTACCGCAACGCAACTTCTGGACCCCACGAGCAAATCACTGCTTCAAGGAGTTTCTAATGGTGAAGTCGATCAATGCTACTATCAGATCCTCCAGTCATCCACTCTCGCTGTGTGAGATAAATAAATCGTCGCGGCTCCACCTCCGCCTCGCTCTCCCGAGTCCCTTTCAGTTCCGCCGGGACTTCTCGCACTAGAAGCTCGTTTCCTCCTAAACTTCGAATCGATCTCGACCAGTTTCCCTACCATGGCAAAGTACGGCGAGGGTGATAACCGTTGGATCGTGCAGGATCGAGCGGACGGCGCGAACGTGCACAACTGGCACTGGGCCGAAAAGGACTGCATGGAATGGTCGCGGCGGCGCTTGGGCGAGCTGATTGGCGGGCTGACGGTTCTGGAAGGGGAAGGCGGATGCTGGATCCGCACGGGGGCTATTGAGAAGGTGGACGGCGAGGCGTATGTTAACATTCGCAAAGGAAAGATCATTCCCGGGTGAGTTTTCTGTCAGGATTTTTGTGGTCTGGGGTGGTGGAGGCAGGATCAGCACGAGCACTATTGAGGAGGTCGTTGTTGAGGTTATGACGACGATGTTTGAGGCACCTCATACCGTGTCTCATCACTCGACGTGAACATGCGAAAAGGAGATTATACCTTCAGGTCTGACCTTGTTCAGGTTTTGAAAGGAATCCTGACTCATGCAGGCGTATTTCGTGAATACGCGAAATCTCCCATTGAATATTATGGCACAGCATACGTACAACAAGAACCAAGTCCCACCAGGAACCCTACTTCTTTCCTTCCCTGTTTCATCCCCCTTTCCTCCTAACCCACCACCCCTTCCGGCTATCAGCTATGAGCCTCAAGAACCCTACCTTTTCCTTCTCCCGTTGGCTTCCCTCCTCTCACACCTTTCCCGCCAACCAGCGACTAGCCTAGTAACAAACACTACCGTTGATTTTTCCCGTTTCCCCGTCCCCATCAACCAATCAGCTACGAGCTTCACGTCCGCCTGGGCTGGGAGGGCGAGGTCAAGGACTCCGCCGACGCGCAGCCCGTCGCGTCCGTTAAAGGCTTCGTGGAGCTGCCTTATATCGCGGACGAGAACCACGACGAGGATCCCGAGGTGAAGATCGCCCTGGCCACGGAATCCGCGGACGGCAATGGCGGAGGGTCGGCAGCAGCCAATCGGCTGCGAGATGCCATGCTGGCGCGAGGCAAGCCGCTTATTCTGGAGAGAATCCGCACGTTCGTTAAAGACATCCAGGCGGGTGGACCGGCGAGAGACGAGTTAGAAAAGGCCAAGGCAGTGAAACCAGCAGCAACTGGAGCAGCAGCAGCAGCAGCACCAGCAGCAGCAGCATTAGGAGCAGCAGCACCACCAGCAGCCACAGCAGCAGGGTCTGCATCTGCTGCTGCTAAAGCCACTGCGAGCACAGCCGCAGCCAAAACGAGCAAGAAGGAAAGCGGCAGCAGCGGAACTGGGAAAAAGACGATCGCCATCACACAGAGGTTCCATTGCCGGCCGTCAGATCTGTACGAGACGCTGATGGATGAAAAGCGGTGGATGGCTTTCACTCAGTCCAAGGCAAAGCTGTCGCGGGACGTTGGGGGTACCTTTTCGTTGTTTGATGGGTCTGTGACAGGTGTCAACCAGCGATTGGACGAGAACAAGCTGATCATGCAGAAGTGGCGGTTCAGCAGCTGGCCTGATGGGGTTTACTCCACGGTGAGTGTGGGTGATGGTGGTGGTCGGTGATAGTAGCAGTCGACAGAGAGTGTAACGAAAGTGTGTGCTAGGAGTGGGTAATAGGCGTGAATGATAAGAGAGGAGCATGAGAGTTGGTGATAGTAGTGGGTGGTAGCTATGTGGATGTAGCGGGTGGTATTAGTTTATGGGTGATTGTGATTGTGGGTGCATATGGTAGTGGGTCATCATTTCACAACCTTCTCTTTATCCGTGTCCAGACTCTCTGCACTAGATGCTAAATTGTTGCATGTCTCTGTGCTCCACTTGTTTAACTGGTGCAGGTGTGCATAACCTTCGAGGAGCCTCAAGTCGGTGACACCATTCTGCGGCTCACACAAACCAACGTGCCTGAAGAGGATAGGTGAGTGCCACAGCGAGAAACGGTTTCTAAAGTGGAATATGCATTGTCGCACGGAGTTACATGGAATAGTCTGTGCGCTTTTTAACCACTGGCCATTGTTATGGTGTTAACTAATTAGTACTCTTGCCTACTTGCAGGTTTGGGAATGCGACGGTGTTTGAAACAACCGAACGTGGCTGGAGAGATCTCATTTTTGCTAGGATTCGTGCAGTTTTTGGTTATGGGGCATAGGACGTGGAATTCTTGAACGCTTTTATAGGAGGTGCTTTGTAGTTTTTTCTTATTGGGGGCATAATTTTGCTGTCTATCTGTGCCAACATCATTTCCATTGACTTAGTAGCGCGGACAAAATCCCCACGGCTTCGCATGATTCGCGTCTACACTTGACCGTCAATTCAGTCAGGCAGGCGCACGTCAGTCAGTTCGTATTCCGAACTTTGGACACCATCCGAAGTTCCCTCACGCGACTCGGAATGTTAGGATGACATTTCAATGTTGCCCCACGCGGTCCGAAGTCTGGACACCAAGGAACATACCGGTCAGGTGATGTGCGAATGATGCGCAGGTAATAATGCGACATGGAAGATCGGGGAATTTTGGGCTTCAATCCAGTGGCCGACTTACAATCGTGACCGTCACGAACTTTGCAAAATCTGACCGCAGCAACCAATGAGCTGGCGGTGAGTGTTCTTCCCAGGCTGTTTGAGTAGATTTCGCCGTCTACTGTTTTCGCGCTCTGATTGGGCACGAAACCAGGATGATCCAACAACCGTCAGGCGATTCTGACGAACCCAGTCGCACTCAAAATTTAGTCACATGTCCAAAGTGGGGCTACACCCCACACAGACACCATCAACCCCCAAAAAGTGCTTGCGGTGGGGGAACTTCGATGGTGTCCCAACTTCGGAATACAATCTCATCAGGCATTCCCAAAAACCGCCAAATTCTCCTGAACGCAGTTCCTCCAGACAGGAGTGACTCATCGTCATTCCCAAGGGTCTCCCGTGCACGGCGTCAATGCCAGAATATCTCTTTATGAAAGCTTTTGAGGTTGCCGTTCTTTTCAGTCCCTCGATTATATCGGCTTTGGACTGGGATGGTATCAGTTTGGTGTGCGTGAAATTTGTTGCGTGACTACGACTGCCTTTCAAACGACTTCTAAATAACTAACCACGATTAACTGCCGTGTTGGAAGATAGGGTCTCACGTTGTCGGCGCCAATTAGGCTACGGCGTCGAAGTTTTTCCTCAACAGTCGACAATGAGCTCATTGAATTTCTACCTCTCGCGAATGAAGGGAGCGACGGGTACGTCGACTCCAGCGGCAAAAGCAGAATCGTCGCAACTGGACGCGTCAAGACCAACGGCTGCCTTAAATCCCCTGTCCAAAACAGGAATATTTTTATCACAGTCGCAGACTCCGGCTGATATTCCCGGGAAGGCGGTAACTGAGGAAGCACAGTCAGCAGAAACAGTTACAGTCAGATTGCAAGGCTCTGCTGGAGACGTCGACGGTGACGTTAACGATGACGGATCCAAACGGCTATCGGTCAGAGAAATGAGAGCTCGTTTCAACGCGACGAACGATCGAGTGCCCTTAGCGCCAAAGGCGCCGATTCGGCCGAACACATCGATAGCTGTGGATTGGGTAACCAAGGGCGGGAAAAACGCCGTGCACCGCGGGGACTCGAAATTCGTCCCTAGGCCCGGTGTGAAGGAGGAAGGCCCTGCCGTCGCCACGTCAGCAACCAGGCCTCCAGCTGACAGCAACAGTGCTGTTGCGGATCTTGCTGCTTCTGCTGCTGCTGGCGCAAGTGAAAGTAACACTGGCTACAAAGGTAACGGCAGTGAGAGCAGCGGTAGTGCTGACAGCGACACGTGGGAGGCTCGGATTCGCGCGCTTGAAGAACAGCTGGAGAAAGCGAACGTGGAAACCGCGTTTCTGAAAGCGCGAAACACGGAGCTGCAGGCTCGGCTGTTAGACAAGGATAACGAGCCGCGCCCTCATCAGGTGGTGAAGACCAGACTGCCTGCCTCAATCGCCGCAGCAAAAGCAGTGGGGGATGTGGGGATGAGAGGAGCGATGGGAGTTACAATTGGTGCTGGCGTGGAAGGGAGAGGCAACTGCAGCAGGCCTGAGAGCGAGAATTTGGGGCCTGTTGACCAGAACAAGAGCAGCAGCGGTGGGGACGCTGGTGGAATTGACTCCAGCAGCGGCAGAAGCAGTGGCGTCAGTGGTGACGAGGAGAGGGGGAGAGAGGATGCGGTGACAGGCAGAGGAGAGCAATGGAGTACTGTTGAGGATGGTGTTACCAGGAGCAATTACAGCAGCAATGGGATGCCGTTGGAGTTGCAGCTGGCAGCAGCTCATGCGAGGATAGCTGTGCTGGAGGTGAGGGGCTACTGGAGGTGAGAGGCTGAGGGCGTAGGGAAGCACGTGTTGGCAGGTGGTGGTGGTGATGGGGTTTAAAAGTTGACTGTCTCAAAAAAGCAGCCTATGCGAGGAAATCTGTGCTGGAGGTGAGAGGCTGAGAGCATCGTAGACAGGCACGCACGCTCGTCTCCCATCTTTCCTCAGTCACCTAGATGTGCATAATAGCGTCGCTGCTGCTATGGCTTGCCTGCTATTGCGTCCCTTGCTATCGCATTCCTGGCCGTTGCCACTCTTTTCCCCAATCTGTTGGGGACTTCATCCCCGCTGCCTGTTCTCACGCGACTCTCTCAGTGATGCATCTACCCCTGATGCTCACTACCCTTCCTCTCCCCCACTCCACCCCCATTGCCCTCCCAAATCCAGAGAATACTCAAGGCCCGTGCCAATCAATCCTCTCTCCCCCGCCTCCCCTCCGCCTCCTCCACTTGGAAGCCTATCCCCCGCCCGCCCATGCCATCCCCCGCCTCCCAAGCACCTCCCAAGCCTGCTGTCACGCCGCAACATCCACCCAAGCCTCCAACCCTTGCAAAGCAAGGGCCTGTCTTTGAATCGACCCAAACAACGTTCACAGGGGTGCAGCACGAGGGGCGGAGAGACGAGGGCTTGTCCGTGGGCTCGCAGTCAGTTCTGGGAGGCAACGCCGGGATGAGCGCTGGGATGGGGAGGGCTGTTGCTGAGGATAGTGGGGCGGATGGGGGGTTGGGTACAGAGGCGGTGGCTGAGGGAGGTGTGGTGCTGGTGGTGCGGCCGTGGGACAGTGAGGGCGTGTCTCGGCTGCAGCAGGAGCTGGCAGAGGCAAAGGCGGTGCAGCAGGCGACAGTGGGGAAACTCAAGGCCGCGGAACAGCAGTTAGGGAGACTCTCTGCTGTGCGAGAGGAGGTGAGTGCTTGTGGTGCCTAGGAGACGCTGTGGTGCTTGTGGTGTAGCTGTGTGACAGTGAGGTCGTGATTTCTGGCGCCTCAAAAGGTGGAGGGAGGGGTGGTGCTGGTGGTGCGGCCGTGGGACAGTGAGGGCGTGGCTCGGTTGCAGCAGGAGCTGGCAGAGGCACGAGCAGTGCAGCAGGCGACAGTGGGGAAGCTGAAAGTGGTGGAGCAGCAGTTAGGGAGACTGGCGGCTGTGCGAGAGGAGGTGAGTGCTTGTTGTGCCTAGGAAACGTCTTCAGTAGCCTAGTGGTGTTGGTGGTGGGACAGTGATCGCGTGGCTCGGCTACAGCCGGAGCTGGCAGAGGCACGAGCAGTGCAGCAGGCAACAGCGGGGAAGCTTAAGGCCGTCGAGCAGCAGTTGGGAAGGCTCTCTGCCGTACGAGAGGAGGTGAGCTACGGATGTGAGAATGAATGGGTAAGGTAAGCTGGGTAAGGGATGTGGCACGGGTGGTGCAGCGGGCGACAGCGGGGAATTTGAAGGCCGTTAAGCTGCAGCCGGGGCGACTGGCTGTTATGAGTTGAGGTTAGGCAAGGGAGTCACTTTTAAGAATTCTCAAAAGTGGCACCTGGGGGGACTGGCTGCTATGTTGAGGTGAGGTCAGTGTTCTTGTGCTGCTACAAGGACAGGCCAGGCCAGGCCAGGTCAGTCCCAAAGAAGGCTTATTGTCACTTCTCACCCCACGGCTTTTGTGCCCCTGCTCTCTGCTGCCTGTCCCTTCTACCGTATCGGCCTCTTCTATTGGCTGCCCACGTGTGCAGGGTTACCATGTATTGCATGCGGTTCCTGTGCGGCATGTCTACACTCGCAGCTGGGTGTAACTTGTGTTTCTCCCTCTACCCACGCACTCAGTACAGTATTTGCAACTTGGGTTGTGTAGAGAATCTGAGATAGTTCCCGCCTGAGTTAACTCATACCATATACGAATAAACAATGCTTTGCAGAAATGCCATTCACATTTTATGATACGATGCAAACAATGAAAACTCACAGTATCATTCTCTGCTACGGTACAATGATTGAGGACATCAATACCCTCACCAGACACATGACCAAACCAGTGCAAAAGACGGTAAACCGGTAACACCAGTAGAAGTGATTACACTTTGCCTTCGTACTTGTACGATTCGTCGTAGCTTTGCTTCAACCGGGCCAGAGCAGCCCTTCGGGAATGACCTGCACAGGGGTAGTTGAGGGGAGGATAGAGGGGATGACGGAGGAAAGGGGAGGCACTGACTTGAATTCAAGGGCCGCGGGGAGGAAACGAATTTCTATGAACGCATGAGAGTACTTCACGGAAAACACAGGCAAGGCAGTGGGTAATGGAAGGATGGAGGGGAGGATTGAAGTGAGGGCAGCAGAGAGGATGTAAGGGAGGGAGGCGCTGACCTGATCCGAGCGCCATGTGCAGGAACTGCAGGTCGTGCGGTGCACACACATCCAAGAGCGCGAATGCTCCTGGCTCTAACGCTGCCTCCACAGAGCTGAGGGGTTGAATGCGGTGGAGATTGGAATGGGGTGGATGGAAGATGGTTGCTTGAGATGGTTGGTTGGATGGGTTGACAAGGTGATATGGAGACGGTACATTGATGTGATGATCTGGTGATGCTTTGAAGTGGTGATGTGGTGATGTGATTATGTGCTCAAGTTGACCAATGAGGGGCTCATGTCATGTTGATCCATGAGGGGACACACCAGGAGCAGCAGCAGGAGGGAATCAAGAATATCTCTGAATTATCGTGTAGACGCACCTGGGCAACCCGATAACCTGCTGCTGCTGCTGCTGCTGCTGCTCTGCTGACCAGCACCAGCACCAGCACCAACACCGGCGCTGCTGGGAGCGAAGCTAGGAGTGGTGAAGGGCGACTGGAGTTGTTGGAGCAGAGCTGCTGCTGGAGTGGTGGGTGAGGCGGTAGCGATGGTGGCGGTGGTGGTGATGGCGATGATGTAGTCTGCTAAGAGCAGTGGGCAGATCTTGCTGAGCGTAGTGCGCTGCTCTGATACCTGCCGTGCAGATGGGTGAGGAGTGGAATGGCATCAGTCAAGAGATGTCAAGTTACCTCGTTTAAAATGAGAACAGGATGAGTGGGGAACAAGGGGTAACGAATGGGGCAGAGTCGAACGGGGGTGAAGGAGATGGAGTTTGATTGAGGGAGGAGGAAACAAGGAAGGAGGAAGCATCAACGGGTGCAGAGTGGGAGATGGAGTTATTTTTTAGGCGCCTCAACAATCACCTCAATGCACGCGAAGGAGATGGAGTTTGATTGAGAGAGGAGAGACAATGGAGGAGGAAGCATCAATGGGAGCAGAGTGGGAGATGGGGTAGCGTGGCTGCCAGTTACCACGCAGAGCCGCTCAGCATCACATTGCACCGCATAGAACTGCACTAACCTCATCATACACCCGTCTCAGCCACAGGGCACAGCTGGCAGCCGTGGCTTCGTTATAGTCACACAGGAGAGGGGGAGCAGAGGGGTTGGAGGAGGGAGAAGAGGAGGAGGAGGAGGAGAGTGGTTGCGAGGATGACGGAGAGGAGGATACGAAGAAGGGGGAGGAGGGCGAGAGGAGGTCGAGCATGCAGCGGAGAGACTGTACGAGGATCGCCATGCTGTATCGCACATAGCTGTTGCCATGCATGGCATGCAAGGGTGGGGTGGGGAGCAAGGAAGGGAAGGAAGAAGATGCGATGGGGATGGGAATATCCCCAAGTGAGTGCTCGCGCAATTCTTAAACTGCATTACCATGCCATTGATGTGAGGTAGCGACAAGTGGTGAGGAGCAGCTCGCAAGAGACAGTAAGAGCTGGTGCTACTGCATGAGGTAGGGAGGGAGGCTACTGCGTGCAAAACACCAAGGTGCAACACGTGCTGTTACGAGGAGCAGAGCAGCACCTACCGGCTCCTCTGACGGATGATAGCACAAAGCAGCTGGCAGAAACCAACAAACAACGCCGCCCGTTCGCCGAGGCCCATGCCAGCAGACGAATCAGGAGAAGGCGAGATGGTGAGCAGAATGAGGTTCGGGCAGGCGAGACCCAGGCTGACGTGACCTGCCCGGAAAGGGAAAATTGCGCTCCGGGCAGCGAGAGTCGTGAGCGTTGACAGGCTGTGATGGCAGATGGTGAAAAAACTGGCGGGAGTTATCAAAGGAGCGGGTGATGGGGTGAGCCAAGAAAAGAGTGAGGGAGCGAGCGAGGGTATGGAGGGGACGTGAAAGGCAGAGGAGACAGAGGATGGGTAGAGGCCAGAGAGTGAAGGTGAAAGCGAGGGCGTGTGGGGTAGCATGTGCATGGGAGTGTGAGAAAGGAAGTGAGGGAGAGAGTGAGGGAGGGAGTGAGAGTGGGAGTGTGTGTAGGAGGTGATGGCTTTGAAGAGCAGGGAGGCGAGGAGGGGAGAGCGGGCAGAGAGGAAGTGAAGGGAGTGGCCGCTGGGACAGCTGTGAATGAGCTTCTCCGCCAACACTGCCACCGCATCCAACCCTATTGGACCGTTCTCCAACCCTGCTGAGCTGCCAGACTGTGTTGAGAGGCCCCCTTCTGCATGAGCAGCACTCCCCACTGCACCCACCCCTCGCTTGAGGCCCCCACTGTTCACATACGTGCTTTGCCCGCTGCCCCCACCCCTCTCCTGCAGCCTTTCCTCCCCCCTCTCCTCTCCCCCTTTGCCTCCCCTTTTCCCTTCACCCTGCCATCCACATCCGCCTCCACCGCCCCCCTCCAGCTGCAAGGCGAGCTCGTGTCTGCAGGTGCGGAAGATGACTGCTACCCACCCGTGCGACGCCCACTGCACAAACTGCTTCAACGCGCCGTCCGTGGCTTGCAGGAGAGACTGCAACACTTGCTGTGCTGCCTCTACTTCCGCTGCTGCTCCTGCTGTTGGTGCAGCTGTTGCTGCTGATCCTGCTGAGTGTGACAACAACGACTGTGACTGTAACGAGAGGGCGGAGAGGAAAGCCAGGTGGACGCGCACGATTCGCCAGAAGGAGGAAGCAGGAGGGTGGGGGGAGACGCAGCGCAGCATGCGTGTGCCAGCCACCTGCGTGTATTGCAGCACAGCCAAGAGGAGAGGCGCGGCAGAGCGCAGCACAGAGAATGAAGAGTGCGTTTGAACCACCGCATGTGCATCCCCTTGTCGCAGCAGCAGGGAGGCGTGGTGGAGAATGAAGAGTGCGGATGCTAGCCTGGGCTGCACGGCCCTTTCCACAAAGGCACGCGACAGAGTGTATCTCCTCCGTGCTACCAACTGTTCTCCCACAACTCCCCGTTGCTCCTCCTCTTGCTCCTCCTCATGCTCCTCCTCTTTCTCCAGCTGTGCACCCCGCTTCCCTCTCCTCTCTTTTCTTCTATCTCGCCCTCTCCCTCCCTCTTGAGCCGACTGCTCAGCCTTCTCTGTCCCACCTTCTCTACTCGGTTCTTTCTCCCCTTCACTCATCACCAGAGAGCACCTCAGATGCAGGGCAGCAGCAGCAGCAGAGAACAGGTGGGCTGCCGTGACACAATCGGATGTGCTTGTAAGAAGGCGTCTGAGGGCGTGTTTTTGCGAGTCTGGGAGAATGTAACTGCGTATCCAGCCCTCCTCCCACTCTGCTCCTTCTCCTCGTCGTCCCACTCTTCCTCGTGCTCCTCCTGCTGCTGCTCTCTCTGTCTTGGAAGGTGAAAGGGGACGTTGCTTCCCTCGCTTGCTGGCATCTGTGTCTCCATCCACTTCCATTTCATCCCCACTCTCCTCCTCACTCCCCTCCTCACTCTTTTCCTCACTCTCCTCCTCACTCTCCTCCTCACTCTCCTCCTCACTCTCCTTCTCGCCCTCCTCACTCTCCTCTTCCTCACTCTCCTCCTCACTCTCCTCTTCCGAACTCTCCTCTTCCTCACTATCCTCACTCTCACTCTCACCATCATCATCCTCTTCCTCACTCTCCGCTTTCTCGCTCTCCTCCTCATCTTCCCCCAACCCATCCCTGCCTTTCTCCTTCACATCATCAATCTCATCCCCATCACCAGCAACATCCCCACCATGCATGTCCAGCAAACCACCATCCCTAACCACATCGAATCCGAGTTCACGCAATGACAACCTATCCACACCATCGTCCATGCCTTCTCCTCCCACCTCCTTTTCCTCCTTTTCCCCTCTTCCTTCCTCTCTCCCCTTCTCACTCTCCCCCAGCATCCCCCTCAACGCCGCTTCAACAGCAGGCTCGAGGCAGTCAATCAGAGCACGCCACGTGGCAGGGATCTTACCACCCCAACGTGCCAGCAATGACCCTTCACTGCCCACCTCACCAACAGCTGTAGCAGAATCCACTGTAGCACGCGCTACAGCCGGTGCTGCTGCTGACTCATCGCCAGCGCGGCTCAGTCCATCCGCTACAGCTGCCATCTCCCACAGCGCTCCCGAGCTCACAGCCGCCGCTACAGCCGCTGCAGACGTCACAGCAGCAGCAGCAGCAGCAGCAGCTGGTGCTACAGATGCTACAGATGCTGCTGTTGCTACAGCTGGAGCAGCTGATGCAGCATGGGTGGCGAGAGTGGGGTTGCAGTGGGGGAGGGAGGCGAGGATTTCAACCGAGGAGATGAGAGCAGTGGCAGTCTCGGGATGGGAGCGAGAGAGACGGGCAATAGCAGTGCCCACATCTGTGGCTGAACCATCCACAGCTTCTGCATTCCCTTGTGACTGCTTGCCCTTCTCCTCGCCCCTCCCCTCGCCCCTCACCTCGCTCCTCTCCTCGCTCCTCTCTTTGCTCCCCTCCGTGCCACCATCCATCATGACTGCATGCACTGCCATGCCCACTGCTGCTCCACTCCCCGCCACCATCGCCTCCCATGATTCCTCATCTCGCAACGCGTCCCCATCCCCCATTGTTCCCCCAATCCGTTTCATCTTCTCCCCTTTCCGTCCCTCCTGCTGCTCCCATCGCTTCACAACACCTGCTCCCACTGAGCCTACCACCAGCCACGGCAGCAGCTTCGGCACGAGACCAGACCCAGGCTCGGGACAACTTGGTTCGGAACGAGTGCGATGGGAGAGAGATTGGTGGAGGGAGAGAAAACGAAGGAGGGCTATTCTGCAGGCAAGGGAGCAGTGCATGAGAAGGGAGGAGGGAGAGGAGGAGATGGAGGAGGAGGAAAATGAGTGCTGCTGCTGCTGTTGCTGCTGCTGCTGTTGGTGGTTTGATAGAGTGTGAATGTGACTGTAACGAGAGGGAGATGAAGGTGAGAGAGAAGGGAGCAGCAGAGGAGCCATGAAGCACTGTTCCACGCCAGCAAGGCATTCGACCAATCGCAGCGCATCTGCAGCCGTCCAGCAGTCAGGGGGTACCGCCTGTAGCAGCTGTAGCAGCACCAGCACCAGTTCCACCTCCCCTGCATCTACCTGCCACTCCCCCTCACTATCTCCCTTACCCTTCCCCTTCTGCTCTCTCACTTCTCTCCCGCCTTCCTGCCCATCCTCCACCTCCTCTTCTGACGAGTCAGCATCTGTACCTGCTGAGTCAGCATCAGGGTTCCGAACTAGATGGCGGAGTGAATCTGCCAGCTCAGCAGCTGCCTGATCAGCCAGCATGGCGAGCATACTGTCTGAAAACTTCTTCTCGTTACTCGTGTTACTATCACCTCCAGCACCCACCCCACTAGAGCCATCTCCTTCCTTCCCTTTTTTCTTATTTCCTTTTCTTTTTTTCGAGCTGCCCTTTGGTGTCAGTTGACCTTCTCTTCCGGCGTGGTCATTGGCTGGAATTGTTCGGTCAGACAGCAGGGAAACCAAGCCCGCCTTGCATTTTTCTGCGAGGGCAGAAGGCGGGCAGGTGGTGGAGAGTTTCAAGCTGCCCCTCACAGCTGCCCGGAGATTAGTCACAAATGACTTGGCCAAAACGTGACGAACATTCTGCAAGCACAAGTGGGGTTCGAGGGAAAAGGAGACATAACATGAACGCAGAACGTAGGGGCGAGCAATAACAACAAATGAAAGAATCCGCATAGGGGCAGCGGGGATCCAGAGGGGGAGAGCGGAGGACGCAGCAAGAGAGCTAGAGGGGAGGGGACCCAGCCAAACAGAACGCACTCACCTCAATCTCGTAGAACACAGGATTCCTTAGCGCCGCCAGAGCTGTCTGAGCCCTCCCTCCCACTCCACCAGCCACCTCCCTAGCAGCTAGGCTGAGCAGCAGCAGCACAAACTCCCTCACGACAGGGCGAGAGGCAGCGGGGATCCAGAGGGGGAGAGCAGAGGAGGAAGTAAGGGACAGGTACGCCGCGTTGAGATCCCCACCGCTGCTGATGCTGCCCACTGTGCCGTCCCACTGCCTCCCCCTCCTGGTCGGATACATACCGCTTCCCTCATCCTTTCCCTCCTTCTTTTCCACTCCTGCTTCCCCTTCCCCGCCTGTTTCTCTCCCCATCACCACCCACCGGCTCCGCCCCTCGCCCGCCCCCACACACCCAAACGACAGCTCATGCGCCACAGCAGCCGCCAGCGCACCAACACCGCTCCCCACCGCTCCCTCCTCCCCCACACCCCGCGCTCCCTCTGCTCCTCCCCGCTTCGCCTTCTTCCTCCCCTTCCCCGCCTCTCCTGCTGCTGCCTCCGTCTCTCCCCCGAGTTCGCCCCTCTTACCACCCGCACTGCTTGCGCCGAGAGCCAGCACCGGGGAGAGGGAGGAGAGGGCAGTGATGGCAGCGCAGAGTGTCAGGAAGCGCAGCCTAAGAAGCTCTCTGGATTCCACCCCTTGTTGATCCTCCTCCTCCTCCTGCTGCTGCTCTTGTGTCTCCTCTGCCTTTTTCTCCATCACTCGGTTCAGCCAGCCAATCACAAACCGCCATTTAGAAGCAGGCTGCTCCGAAGCAGCCCCTCCAGCACTCTCCCCTGCTGAACCTGTCCCTGCCGAACCTAACTCTGCCGAGCCAGTACCTGCCGAGCCTGGCATGCTTACAGCAGGGTCGAGGGGCAGCGGGAAGGCGAGACCAAAACGGTGGCCCATTTTGGACTCTTCTGAGGGAGGTGCGTTGTACAGACACCGCAGGTGCAGCTCATGGGCAGCCAGAAACATTTCAAGGCCTGCCCCAATACTTGCTGTTGAGTGGTGAAGAAACGAAAGAGCCAAGGCATGATCTCCACCCTCCATCTTTCTATCTCCCTCTCTCCCTCCGTCCCTTTTCTCTCCCCGCATGCTTGCCGCCAGCACCGCAGCCACCCATTTCCCAACCACTGACCGCCCAAGGGCCTGCACTAGGCGACAAAGGTTGCCATCCACCTGGATGGCGGTTCCCAGTGCAACAGGCAGGCTGCGGAGCACTGTAGCAACAAAGCTGGCCGCCGCCCAGGTGAGCCGACCCTGTGCTACATGCGACTCAGTTTTCACCTGAGAAACCACCTGACCAGCCTTCCCCTTCTTTCCCTTCCTCCCCTTCGGTTTCTCCCCCTCGCCCCCTCCCCTGCTCTCCTCGTCCTCCTCCTCTCTTCTTCCCTCACTGTCCCCTTCCCAACCAACCACCAGCCTGACCTGCTCTTCCCCGAAGCTGAGCAGCAGGCTCGGCACCTGGCCTGGAGGGACTGCAGCAGCAGCCTCCCGGACCACAGAAAGGAGGTCTGGAGATGAAAGGAGCGTCGCAGCCGCTGCCACTGCTGCTGCTGCTGCTGCTGCTGACGGTGATGGTAATGCTGAGACAGATGCTGATTTGAATGCTACGGAGGGAAAAGTGCCCATATCTTGTCGAGAGGCGAGGGTGGAAGAGAGGACAGCTCGAATCACTACCACTAGCTGCGACGGGAGAGACAGAGGGGAGAAGGGACAGGGGAGATGGGAAGGACATTGAATGGTAGGGACAGACAGGGCAGAGCACGAAAAAGTTAAGGGGGGAGTGAGGGTGGAAGAGAGGATGGCTCGTATTACTACGACTAGCTGCGACGGGGCAGGAGGGACACAGGGGAAAGGAGGGGCGGAATGAATAGGTTTACCTATGCGTGAGATGTACGCAGGGATCACACGGCACACACACACATGCATCGATGCATGCATGACTGCATGCATGCTCATTCAGGCACACACAAACGCATTCATGTGTGCACATGCACATATGCACACGCACACACACACACACACACGCACACACACACACACACACACACATGCGCACACACACCTGTCTCATATCTTTCCACGTCAGCACCAGCTGGCTGGCAACCTTGACTGCCGCCGCCCACACGGCCACCCACCCTGCTGTCCGCTGCATGGACATCTGCTGGTAACCACCACTATCCAATCCTTCCGATCGTGCCTGCTCACACGCAGTGCACGCCCCAATCACGAGCTGCCACGTGGCGTCATGCAAGCCATCCACGAGCACCACCACCCGAGGCTCCAGCCGAACCAGCCCCCAAAGCAGCTGGAGAAGCTCGGCCCAAACCTGAGCTCCTGCCCCGTCCCCCTCCTGCCTCCCATCACCATCACCACCACTACCAGCAGCAGCAGCAACAGCAGAAGCAGTGCCACCATACAGGCCTTGTAAGCCATGCTTGTTTTCTGCTTCCCACATGCGCCAAGAACTGCCAACCTCCCCTGCCAGCCCAGCCAAGTGCAACAGCAGACCCAGTCTCGTCGCCCCTCCTCCTCCTCCATCTCCTCCCGCTCCTGCTGCTTCTGCTCCTCCCCTCCTTCCTCTGCTTCGCCCGCTGCTGCTGTGGCCGCGGCTGCTGCCGGTGCTGGTGCTGTCACTCACGTCTGACAGCCCGTCGTAGATACCCTCCTCTATCGCCGCGCCCACCAGTGCCCTTGTGCCACGTAGCACGGCTGCCAGGCTCGCAAGATCTGCAGCACTGCTTGCTGCTGACTGGTTACCACCTCGGCTTCTGGTGCCCTGCTGCTGCTGCTGCTGCTGCTGCTGCTGGGACCACTGATGCTTGTGCTGCTGCTGCTGCTGGTGCTGCTGTTGTGTGCGGCTTCTCTGCCTGCGTGTCCCCCTGAGTGAGTGCCACCACTTGGCCTCGCAGCTCACCTATCAGTGGGCCCAGCAGATGCGCAAACAGACAGAACCGTGACTGCAACAGCTGATACACTTCCGGATCACCTGCCCCCAAAACTCCTCCCGTACCTCCTCCCTGCCCTCCCCCTCCTCCTCCTCTGCCTACCCCCACCTCCACACCTCCCTCCCCTGCCTTCTCATCTCCTGCTCCCTCTCCTACCCCATCCCCACTCACCCCTCCTTTTCCCCCCTGCCCTGCTGCTTTCCTCCTCTTCCCCCTCCCCCCCACCTCTCCCACTCTCTCTCTTGCGATCTCCACCACACTCCGGGAGTAAATCCCAAACAACCACCCGAGGCTGTGCAGGATCGGCATGTTCCCGGACCTGATCCCAGCCTCGAGAAACGCCAGGAACTGCCGGTGGTAGCTGCCGAACCTGCCTTCCTCCCCCAACCCTTCCACACCTCCATCTCCCTCACCCTCGCCCTCTGCCGCCCCTCCAACATTCCCTCCCTTCCTTCCATGTCTTGACTCCCCAGGTGTTTTCTCAGGTGTTCCCCTGTTGCCTGTTCTTTGCCCGCCCATTTCCTCAACATAACCACCACCCATACTACCGCCACCACCCATACCACCAGCACCAGCAGCCATAGCAGCAGCGACACCCGCGCACTGGGACACATACCCCTCTGCATGCACGCGACCAAATAACGCCTCCTTCACAATCCCATCCATCGCAGATAAGACAAAACTCACCGTTTCCTCCCCCAACTCTCCACCTCCCTTCCCCAGTTGGCCCTGCCCCTGAATGAGGTGCGTCCTGAGCGCCAGCATGAGTGGCAGCAGGCGCGAGAGCACAGCAACAAACACCTTCTTGCCTTGCGGGTGGCTTGATGCGTACACTCCAAACCCATGCAGACACATGGCACACACCTTTCCCCACACGTCCGCTGCTCCTGATGCTGATGCTGATGCTGCTGCTGATGCTGATGCTGATGCTGGTGATGGTCCTTTTCCCGCTGACTTGCTATCATTTTCGAGCCTCAACAAGCTTTGCAGAAGCTGCAGGGAGGCTCGGACTAGGCCGACCCAGTGCTCCAGGCTCGGATGGAATGCCACTGGACTTGACGTTTTGAACCCCACGCCTGGCGCTCCCAAGCCTTTCAAGTCCGAGGAGTCGAGCCTGCCTGCCAGGCTCGGCATCAAGAGAACAGTGAGCAGGGCGTGTAGGCTCCGTCCTATGGATGGAACTTCCCCTGCTGCTGCTGCTGCTGCTGCCGGTGCTGCTGCTGCTGCTGCTGCTGGTGGTGGTGCTGCTGGTACTGATACATTCAGAACTTTGTGAAAGGCATTGTCTTGAGCTAGTGCGGAGAGAAGCGATGTAATTGGTTGGAAGAGGTTGGACGAGACGACCAGCCAACCAGGGTGGTGTTGCAGCAGGGAGAGGGACGCGGACAGAACGAACCAATAGCGTGCATCCATGTAGGCAGGGATCGAATCTCTGTCCCTCCCCTTCCCCACTTCCTCCTCACCTTCCCCATCGCCTTCCCCTTCCGCTCTCCCTATCACTTCCCCCTCCGCTTTTCCTCCCGCATGATTCTTCCGCCTCTTCCCCGCCTTCTCCCCGTCAAGCTTCTCTGCCGAGCCTGGCATTCCCGAGCCAGGCCTGGCTCGTTTGGAGCCGGGGCGGATGGATCGGAGGAGGGACAGCTGAGCGAACTCGAAAACGGCGCGCAGCGCGTGTAGGCGCGCCTGGGAGCCCCATTCCCCCCACATATCCGCGGAATCCGCGGGGGGCCCGAAGCCTTGCTCCCCTGCCAAGCCTTCCCCGGGAGCGTTATACCCGTCGGTGGTAACCGTGTTACCAGCGACCTTCTTGCTCTTTTTCTTTCGCTTGCCGGCTGTGGCTTCCGCATCAGTGGGTTCCTCAGCGGTTGTGACACCACGATGTGGGTGTTTTCCATTCTCGCCCTGTGTAACTTGGTGCTGCTGCTGACGGGACCGCGCCACGTGGCGCTTTCTATCCTCTTCCGCGAAATATAGGAGGAGATTGACCGCTGATGAGAGCACTCTGCGAGGCGGTTTAAGAAGCGCAGGGGTTCGGGTGTAACCGATTTAGGATTCGGGGTTTAGTTACTGCAGTTTGAAAAAGGACGGAGCGTCAATGCCGACGCTGAGAAAGGAAATGAGAGCTGTAAGAGGCGTACCTTTCCGGCGGTTCTCTCTTGGCCACAGCAATTTGGGCAACGGCTAAAGGCGACAGCACCGCATCAGGTGCCGCCATTATTCCTTGGAAGGGTCTGTTCAGCAGCAACCCAGACAGACCAGCTAGCCGAACTGGGCCGCAGGCCTAGCATGACTGTACTCGATTCACACAGATTCGAATGTCTGTTTTCCATATCCGAAAAAAAAAAGCACTAGACTTATGCTTGTATACAATCTCGAGAATCATACAATGAGCTACTTATAGGTATCTCCGGACTCATAAATTTCCAGGAGGCATCTTGTCAAAAGAACGATATGAAACAGTCCAATCATTATCTGATGGTTTTTAGAACTGATCGATAATATCGTTTCCAAAAGTGTTTTTTAGGCTTGGTTTTGCTCTGACACATCCCGCCGATTTCAAGGTGTGCTGGCGCAGGAACCCAACCCAACAATCCAATCCGCTCTCAAGGTGGTCCAGAACCTGCTGCATTTCCCAGCTCATCACGTCCGTCGATCTGCTCTCATGAATCCTCACCGTGATGTCTCTCATCTCTTCTTCGTCCATGCTTCCACATCGCTCCACGGAATCTGTCTGTGATACAGCATTTGCCTGGCTTCATTTACATCACGCATTAGGAAGCACGGATCGGCCGTTATTGTCCGGCAATACCTAGGTTCCGTTTCGTTCACATTACGAGGTGGTGGAGACTGCATCTTCGCATCGCGGTGGCAACATCCGCGGAGGCTGCTCAAGCCTTCGTCAGATCTCAAAACTCGACAGCCTTCTTACCAGCGACTGTAAACCACACAAACATTACTTTCTTCTCGAGCGCCTTTTAACGCGTATATAAGTTCACCGAGGAACCGGCTAGAGTAGACAGCCATGTCGATCTCAGAAGATATAGCGGCGTCGCTGGGAGTGGCTCCGTCATTGATCACCCTCCTGCTCTGCCTCTTCTCGTCCGTCCCCGCGGCGCTGGTCGTGCGCTTCCTCCCCGGCGCGACGCTGAAGCATCTCTACAGCATTGCAGCCGGAGGGGCTCTCTGCTGGGTGGCGTATGGCGGCCTTCACGGCAAGTCTCCTAACCCTCTGTGGTAGCTAGCAGCATGCTCCCATCCCGTTTCATACTATTTTTTAGGCGTCTCAAAAATAACTTTCTGTGGTTGCCAGCAGCAAGCTCTCATCCAGTTTCAGTGGTTCTCAGTGCAAGCGACATTTCTCTGTGGTTTCAGTTTTTTTAGTCTCTCTGGCTTGAAACGCGACTTGAATTTGCAAACAAGTTAGACCGACCTGCAATCTGTTTCTTCGCCGCGCCGCTGAGTGAAAATTGCCATTCCATTGCGTGCGTTCGTCAATGCAGCGAGCCTCAACTTCTGGGGCCTAACCCTCGCGTCGTACGCGCTCATGCTCGTCCTTCCTCGCAAGTGGAGCGGCTACGGCGTGCTCTTCGGCTCCTTCACCTACCTCACCTACTGGTACGCCTCCACACCTTTCCCAATCTTTCCTCTTGCCTTCTTCTCCCGTCTCATTTCCTGTCGTATGGTAAGAGTCACATCGATAATTCGGCTTGTGAATGAACATCTTTTTGCCTGAACTGAGCAACCACTTTAGCAAACTTGTAGCGCGTTTGTTACGCTCTCAAGAGCAGGCACTTTCTGGCGTGAACATGCCAGTCACACGAGCAATCTGGGAGTGGCCGTGCGGAGACGATATTTTTAGAGATCCCTGAATATTGTGCTCTGGAATAAATGAATTCGTTAACTCTGATTTTCCGCGTGACCCTTTCAGTCACATAAGCAACCTGGGAGCGGACGTGTGGAGGCAGGGAGGAGTGGACTTCACGGGCACACTCATGGTCTTCACACTCAAGATCGCCAGCTGTGCCATGGACTACCAGGACGGCGCACTGCCGGAGGATAAGGTATGCTTTGCGGTGGGTACAGGATATCGTGGTAACACTGTTACAAGGCTGGACGCGCTCATGGTGTTCACACTCAAGATCGCTGGGTGTGCCATGGACTTCCAGGACGGCGCACCGCCGGAGGAGAAGGCATGTTCTGCGGTGGTAACAAGGTTACAAGATTTCGTGGTAGCATTGTAGCAAGGCTGGACGTTCGTGGTGTTCAAGCTCAAGACAACCGGCGCATCACTGTATGCACAGTAACAGGCTGGCGCACAACACTCTACCACCAAATTGGCGCTTCTTCCCCTTTCTTCCTCCTCCTCCTCTCTAATCCCGCCCTCCTTCCTCTGTCTGTCTGTCCACGGCACCCTCGTCCCCCAGGGGCAGCACCACATGAACAGCAACAGGCTGCGGCTCCTCGTGCAGGACATGCAACATCCCACCCACATTCTTCTCCCTTTTCCCACATCCTCCCCCCCAGGCGCAGCACCGCATGTACAGCAACCGGCTGAAGCGGATTCCATCTGTAGTGGAGTTTGTGTCGTTTGTGTTCTTCCCAGGCGCCGTGCTGGTGGGGCCCGTCTTCAACTTCAAGCAGTACCAGGCGTACGCCGCTGGGCGAGGGGTGAGTTATGAGTTGCCTTGAGGGGCCCTTCTCAGGAGAAAGGGGAAATGAAGTGAGCATGTTTTGTTTCTTCCCAGGCGCCGTGCTGGTGGGGCCCGTCTTCAACTTCAAGCAGTACCAGGCGTACGCCGCTGGCCAAGGGGTGAGTGCATTCCCAGTCCCCTAAAACAGTTCGATTTCACTGAGAGTGAACCAGTGAGGTATTCCCATGTGTCTCCGTCCCCGGTCTCCTGTCTTCCCTTCTACTCCTGACTTCCTATACCCTATGTCCTGTGCCCTGTGCCCCTTGCCCCTGTACTCAAACCCTGTGTTCACCCGTGCATCGCCAAGCTATGGTCGCCCTCTGGGGCCGTGGTGCCAAGCAAGGCAGCTGACTTGTGAGGTGCCTCAAAAGTTGCAACCCTGTCTTCATTCTGTCTTCACCCGTGTCGTCTCCCCTGTCTTCACCCGTGTCGTCTTTTCTGTCTTCACCCATGTCTCTCCCCTGTGTTCACCCGTGCCTCTCCCCTGTCTTCACCCGTGTCGTCTCCCCCGTGTTCACCCGTGTCTTTCCCAGCTATGGTCGCCCTCTGGGGCCGTGGTGCCAAGCAAGGCAGCCGATTTTTGAGGTGCCTCAAAAGTTGCAACCCTGTCTTCAATTTTGTCTTCACCCGTGTCAACTCCCCTGTGTTCACCCGTGCCTCTCCCAGCTATGGTCGCCCTCTGGGGCCGTGGTGCCAAGCAAGGCAGCCGACACCAGCAAGGGGGAGGAGGGTGATCAGGCACAGAACGGAAACGGGGAGGCGGACAGGTTGACGGGCGAGAGCAAGGGCGAGGGGAAGCTAAGTAAGATGCCGGAGCCGCTGCCGTATGCGGCGCAGGCGCTGGGGAAGGCGATTATCTGCCTGGCGATGCACCACTTCCTGTCTCAGCACTTCAGCCCCGCCCTGCTCTTCGAACCCCGCTTCCTCACCTACGGGTTTGCATACAAGTGAGTGGAGGCAGCACAATGCCAACTTTAGTGTCGACTCAAAAGTCAACTTCAGCCCCGCCCTGCTCTTCAAACCCCGCTTCCTCACCTACGGGTTTGCGTACAAGTGAGTGAGTCTGTGCCGTGCAGCTCAGATGAGGGCAGCATGTTTTGAGGCGCCTCAAATGTCGCCTCCTAACCTATGGGTTTGCGAACAAGTGAGTCTGTGCAGTTGACTAGACAATCCTCGTCCATCTCCCCTCACATCACATCACAGGTGGTACTGCCTGGTGTTGGCGGGTATCTGCTTCCGCTGCTCCTACTACTTCATCTCTGCGCTTCTCCCACCCACCCTTCTCTCCTACGTCCCCTGGTCCCAACCCCTTCTGCCCCACAGGTGGTACTGCCTGGTGATGGCGGGTATCTGCTTCTGCTGCTCTTACTACTTCATCTCTGCGCTTCTCCCACCCACTTTTCTCTCCTACGTCCCCTGGTCCCAACCCCCTCTGTTCCACAGGTGGTACTGCCTGGTGATGGCGGGTATCTGCTTCCGCTGCTCCTACTACTTCATCTGGAGTGTGGCAGAGGCTGCTGTGATCCTCTCTGGATTCGGCTTCTCCGGCTGGACCGACTCCTTCCCCTCGCGCCCAGACTGGTGAGTTCTGAGTGGACGCCACAAGTCCTTGGGATGCAGCTCAGGGCTTTTCTTGAACATTTTCAGAGACCACCCGGACCGACTCCTTCCGCTCGCACCCAGACTGGTGTGTTCCGATTCTGGAATCCAGTCAGGGTCGTGAGATGTGCAGTGCTGATTTTCTCAACCGTTTTCTTTGTTTTCTCAACCGTTTTCTTTGGTGAATCTGCCGTAACAATTGTCAAGTAGGAGATTTGTTATGCGACTCCATTCTGTGGGAAAGGATGGTGGCATCATGTGCCTTTCCATTCTGATTGCTGGTGTACGTATCCTCCCCTCCCCCCTACACCCCTCCCTCCCCCTCCCTTCCACACCAGCAGGAGCCAGGCAGAGAACTGCAATTTCATCAAGCGCGACATTGCCACGAGTTTGCAATGCAGCATCCTGCCGTGTCTCTCGATCCACCTGAACGCTTCGACATCTCCCAACCATTATTCCCCCACAACCTTCCCCCTCCAAACTCCTCTCATCCACACCACCAGGAGCCGGGCAGAGAACGCCAATTTCATCAAGTGTGAGATCACCACGAGTCTGGCGCAGATGCCTGCCTACTGGAACATGGGCGTCGGCACTTGGCTGCGCACATGTGCGTGGGACTTTCCGGTCTAGTATGCGTGACTAGGGCGGCAGGTTTGGGGTTTCAGGTTTAGAGGGACGGGAGATGCCCGCCTACCCGGAGCATGGGTGTCGGCACGTGGCTGTGAACCTGTGCGTGGGACTCTTGTTCTGGGATGTGTGCAACTTCGGGGGTAGACATTTGGGAATCACGTGCCCTTAGGTTGTGGATTTCGGATGTAGGATGTCAAGTTGAGTGCATGGGAATGGTAGTGGGCAGCGATGGGCAGCGATGGGTAGGCGTGACCACGAGGGTGAAAGCAGGAAGGGGGTTCAACAAGCTTCTCTCGCCCATTCCATGCAGGCTCTTTCCATCATGACTCCTCTTGAACCAGTCTTACGGGTTCATGTGTTTGGCCTAAGATTCTTCCTTCTTTGTATCAACCACTCCTCAATGCTCCCGCCCCCCTTCTTTTCTTTTTTTTATTCCCTCCCGTGGACGCTCGTGTTCAGAATCGCGTCTTTCTCCCATCCGACAGATAGCGCATCCTCCAACCTACCCACGTCCTCCACCCCCCCACCTCCCTCCCTCAGACGTGTACGACCGCGTGACACCTCGATCCGGCAAGCCCACCATGTGGACGCTCGTTTTCACTCAAGTCGTCTCCGCGCTCTGGCATGTGAGTCGTCTCCGCGCTCTGGCATGTGAGTCGTCTCCGCGCTCTGGCATGTGAGTCGCCTCACGATGAGCTTGAGTCGACTCTAAAGCCCTTCTCTCCACTTTCCAAGGTTGTCAACACCAGTAACTCCTCTGCGACCGACTAGTAAGGAGTAGGACTCACTCCTCCTTACAGCAATGAGCCGTGTTTTGAGTCGACTCTAGAGCCCTTCTCTCCCTCTCTCCGCTTATCAGGGTTCAATACTAGTCGCTCCTCTGGGATTGACTAGTAAGGAGCAGGACTCATGATTCTCTCCTCCTTACAGAACCTTCATTGTCTGCCTGCCTGTTGCATGAATCCTCGCCGGTTTGAGCCGACTCGAAAAAAGCTTATCCCATTATCTGCACCTTGATTACCATCCCTCATTTCCCATCCAACTTTCATCCATCCCTTCTTCTGCCACTCTCCCTCCCCTCCCAGGGTCTACACCCGGGCTATTACCTCTTCTTTGTCAACGCCGCCATCGGCCAACACACCTCCAAGCGTACGTCTCCTAACTGCCTGTGTCTCTGCCACTCGCACATTCTCGTGCCTTGCCTTTCACTCTCTGAGGTGCTCAGAGGGCTCTAAGTAGCAGCCAGCAGCATGACCCTATCGGGCATCCTCAATTGCTCTTTTCTCGCTCCATCTTCTTGAGCCTAATGCACATTTCCTGCACACCCCGTCATGTGTCTCCTTTTGGCATGGCATGGCATGGCGCGCCACATAACACCACAGAGGTGTTCCGGCACACGGCAGCAGCGTTCCCAAAGCCGTCAGCAGCAGTGAAGGTCACCATCGACGTGCTGCAGGCCATCTTCAAGCAGCTTATCGTGAACTACTCCAACGCTGGCTTCCTGGTATGTGGAACATGGGTGGTACTATGGTGGTGATAGGGTTCTGGTGTGCTGGTGGTTTCCTGGTATGTGGAACATTGTTGGTACTGTGGTGCTGGCTTCCTGGTGTGCTGGTGGTTTGGCTTCCTGGTATGATATACCTTCCATGTCATGCTTTCGCCTGTGGTAGTCACCTTTTAGTCGACTCACGAGGTGCAGTGACGGTCACCATCGCCGTGCTGCAAGCCGTGTTCAAGTCAAGCAGCTCATCATTGACTCCCTCCAAGGTGCTGCAAGTGGGCAGGCCATAGTGTTGCATTTTCTCCTTCCTCACCCCATTCATCGGCACCCAATTCAGTGAACTCAAATTTCGGTGTCCCCTTCGATGCCTCCACAACCCCCAGGTGCTGCATGTGGGTAGAGTGCAGTGTTGCATTCTCTCCTTCCTCACCCCATTCATCTGCCCCCAGTTCCGTGAACTCACATATCGTGTCCCCTTCGATGCCTCCACAACCCCCAGGTGCTGCAATGGTGGCAGACCATAGTGGTGTGGCGATCGCTCCTCTTCGTGGGCACCATCGTCCCCATTCTTCTCAACGTGCTGCTCTCACTCATGCCCCACATCCCTCTTGACTCCCATCCCCCCCGCTCAGGTGCTGCAATCGGGGCAGACCATCGCGGTGTGGCGATCGCTCTTCTTTATGGGCACCATCGTCCCCATTCTTCTCAACGTGCTGCTCTCACTCATGCCCCACATCCCTCTTGCGTCCCATCCCCCCCTCCCAGGTGCTGCAATGGGGGCAGACCATCGCGGTGTGGCGGTCGCTCTTCTTCATGGGCACCATCGTCCCCATCCTTCTCAACGTGCTGCTTTCCGTCATTCCCACTCGTTCCCGGCGCCACAAGAAGGCCGAGTGATCTCTGATCGAAATGCGCTGCCGCTCTCACTCGTGCGCATGCGCTCCCGGGCTCCTGGCTCAACAATATGGTCAATTGATGTCCAAAATGGCATGTTTCGCCATTTGTTACGCGCTGTTGTACGCGGTGCTCAGCAGTGATCGCACACTGCACTGCCTGATTCCCCACAGTGGCACATATGAGTAGGGGCATAAGGGCAAACACCAGCTGTAGTTATCTTGCTCGAGATGATTCTCGGTCATGTTAGCTTACTCACGGGAGGAGGCAAAAAGTAAGTATATCAGTACATGTTAGTGAGAAGCAAGAGTTGCGTAGGCACCATGTGCAGTTGAATGTACGAAGCATCAGAGCCTGTGTTTCATACTTCCCCTCTTCCATTAAAATATGAGCACCATGTGATTACTGGTACTACGTTTGGTCTCAACGATCGGATTCTGCTTGTATGCCAATATATGTATGAGTGGGATGATGGACTTTGCCGAATGCTGCGAAGGGGTGTAGCAGCACAACCTCGAAACGAATTTCTTTCATAACGGATACAAAAGTTTACTGTTTGCCTAATCATCCCTCCACAGCCATCGACTCCAGGCCGTAACTCCGTGCTACGTCTTTTTTAGGAGGTTCGTGTCGGCGCCTCCTAAATCGTCACATCTGCTCCCTCGCGCGCATCTGAACCGAGGTAGCGCCATGTTGTCGCGCCATCTCGGTCGCAAGGCCGCGGATCTCGGGATCGCGCGGTCCCCGGCGCTGCTGCGATCGATCGCAACCGTTCCTATCGCCGACCGCCATGCGATCCTGTCGCCGCCGTCCCTCACGCCCGTTCCGTCCTCCATTGCCGATTCGCCTGCAGCGATCACATCCCCTCCCCACTTCAGCTTCTCCCGAGGTTCGTTCTCGCAAAAGTCAATGAAACGTTTCCCGTGTGCAGCCGCTTTTAGGGTTTCATTCTTTGCTGTTACAGCCGCTTCTAGGGTTCCGTGGCTGCGCTTTCACGCGACGGATTCGATCGATTTGTTTTATATAAAGAAAAAACTTCGGTGGACGATTGCTCGTAGTGCCTTTTTTTTCAAATCGATGCCATGAGGGACACGGCCGCCGCTTAATGGCGGGCGTCGTTTATGTCGAGTCGCAAGAGTCGAAGCGTGGCTGTCTTTGTGCGATCTGTGGGCATCGTGGCCTCGGCTATCCTTGCCGTTCTCCCCTTCCCCTTGCTTTTTTCCGGATCTTTTCCGTCTTCCCTTTTGCCGACATGCACGCACTTGCGTGGTAGATGAGCTGCGTCACTGCGCACGATGGCCTGTCCCTCTGGCTTATGCTGCGTCAGTGCCCGCTCGGCTCCTGCATTTTCTATTCAAACCCTTCACAATAGTTTTCTCCTCTTTTCTCCGTTCCACATTCCATTCCCTCGCTTTTATCTTATCTTCTCCCGTCATTCCTTCTCCCGATGCTCGGTTGTTCATGCATCCCTGTTCCGCCTTGTACCAGTGTCGTCTTGTTCCCTCACCAACCAACTCAATGGCTCCCAAGCCTTTCAAGCCTTTCAAGCCTTTCAAGCCTTTCAAGTTTTTCAAGCCTTTCAAGCCTTTCAAGCCTCCCAAGCCTCCCAAGCCTCTCGTGCCTCTCATGCCTCTCCTGCCTCTCCTGCCTCTTACAATCATCGCATCTGTCGCGTTTTGCCTCACTAGACCTTCCCCTTCCACACTTCAATGATCCATCCTTGGACCCAAACCTGCACTCATCCCCACACCCATCCTTCCCATCCCGCCCAACCCCTCCCATCCCTACACTAGCCTCCCGTTCGCCACCACCAGTTACGTTTTTCCCTCTCATTCCTCCCTGCCCGGCTTCGCAGCCAACGCAGCACTCACCACCGCTCCGCCCATCTCCCCCACGGAGCTCGCCCTCAAAACTCCCTCCGCCACCATCGCCTACGACCAGACCATCCATGAGCGCCTGCCGTGTCTTGACCAAATCACCCAGTATTTTCCCTCTGGTGCTCCTCCCTTCCCACCCCCCTCCCCTCCCCTCCCCTCCCCTCCCCTCCCCTCCCCTCCCCTCCCGTTTTGCAGGCTTCGCAGCAGATGCAGCACTCACCACGGCGCCGCCCATCACCCCTACAGAGCTCGCACTCAAGACCCCCTCCGCCACCATCACCTACGACCAGACCATTCATGAGCGCCTGCCGCCCGGCGACCCGTCCAAGCGTGCCTTCACCTACCTCGTCCTCACCGGCGGCCGATTCATCTACGCCTCTGCTCTCCGCCTGCTCGTGCTGAAATTCATCCTCAGCATGAGTGCTAGTAAGGATGTGCTTGCGTTGGCTTCTCTCGAAGTGGACCTTGGGAACATCGAGTATGGTAACACAGTTACCGTGAAGTGGCGCGGGAAGCCGGTGTTCATCCGCCGCCGCACGCCTGCTGACGTGGCCAAGGCCAATGATGTGAACCTCGCGGAGCTTCGGGACCCCGAGCCTGATTCGGTCCGGGCGCCGAACCCAGAGTGGCTGGTTGTGATTGGCGTGTGCACGCATCTGGGGTGCGTGCCGCTGCCGAATGCGGGGGATTATGGCGGCTGGTTCTGCCCGTGCCACGGGTCGCACTATGACATCTCGGGGCGTATTCGCAAGGGCCCGGCTCCCACCAACCTGGAAGTGCCGAGTTACAAGTTTTTGGATGAAACCAAGGTGCTGGTCGGCTGAGCGGTGTACTTTAACCTACGTACAGTTCAACAGTGTGATATGTTACATACAGCTCGTCATAGTGCTGCTGAGGGTTTGCTTTGCTTGGGCCTTACGTTTGTGTTCTGACTAGGTACCATTGTGCCATTGCCTGCCAGTTGCCATGGAATGAAGGCGTGTTGGTGATTGGGATGATGACGTCAATATAACCACATACTAAATCTATGAGCGAGGGCAAGCTTGACAAAGTTATATTGTTATAACTGCATGTAGTTGTAGCTTAGTGTAGCATTACATTTAACTGTTGGTGGTATACCTTGCGTCTCTCCTATTTGTACCCTTTGCTCAATAGTGAAACCCCTTCCTTTTCTCGACAATCTTCTCCTTACCCTCCTTGCCTAGGCTTCTAAGCCTAGGCATCCTAAACCTACCGTTACTCCTAAGTTACTCCTTATTCTAACATGCTATCAGAGCTAGTCCCGGTCTAAGGACCTCGATCTCTTCTAAGGAACATGGGCCCGCCCTTGACTCAGCGCGAAATGCGCATTTTTTTTTCTGTCTCGTCGACCCGCGGCCCCCGCGTCGCCCCGCGCCGTTTCCTCGCCACGCGGCCCGTTCCCATCGCCCGCAGCCCCTCCGTTCCCGTCGCCCGCGGCCCCCCCGTTCCCGTCGCCCGCGGCCCCCCCGTTCCCGTCGCCCGCGGCCCCCCGTGTCAAATATATACATATATTATTATCTAGGTTGTATTGGGGATAGCTCTAGGGGGTACAAACATTTCTCTCGACACTCTCTTTCTTGTACCCCAAACCTTGACCCAACTCATCATTCTTTGCCTAGGCATCTATGGCTTCTTAACATGGTAACTAGAGCAGGTCAAAGCTTGGACCTACGATTTCTTGGGCCCACCTAACTCACTACCCTGCCTACTGCCCGCGCGCGCTTCGGCTGCAGCGCGCATCGCCAAATTTTCGCGCGCGCGCCACAGTTTTCAGTGCGCGCGCTACGGTTTTTGTCGCGCGCCACTGCTGTCGGGCCGCGCGCCGGCTCGCGACCCTTCGCGACCGCTTTCTCGGCCCGTCGCGGCCCCCTACGCGGTCCTTCGCGTCTCCTACGCGGCTCCTACACGGCCGTTCGTGCCCCCCCCCCCTCCCCCCGCGGCTCTTCGCAGCCGCCCCTGCCGCTTCCGCCACGGCCCCTTGCCGCCGTCGCCACCCCTGTGACGACCGCCGCTACTACTTCTGCAGCTGCCGCCCCTGGTGCAGCCGCCCCTCTGCAGCTGCCGCCCCTGGTGCAGCCGCTCTTGGTGCAGCCGCCCCTCTGCAGCAGCCGCCCCTGGAGCAGCCGCCCCACTACAGCTGCCGCCCCTGGTGCAACCGCCCCTGGTGCAGCCGCCCCTCTGCAGCAGCCGCCCCTGGTGCAGCCGCCCCTGGTGCAGCCGCCCCTCTGCAGCTGCCGCCATTTCTATCGCCCTGCTGTGGCCCTGACCCTACTCGGGCACCTCGGCCCTGCCCCACCGCTTGCGGGTTTCTCCAGCCCGCCCTTGGTAAGCGCATCGCTGAGCTTACTTCTCCTGCTGCTGCTAGCCTGCTCAGCCTGCTGCCATGGCTAGTCCTGCGGTTCTTACATTCGATGCTGAGGGTCGTGCGATCGACTTTGAGGTCTGGCTGGACGACTTGCAGCTGTACCTGCAGTGTGACAGCAAAGACGATGTTTCGCTGTATGACCTCACGTCTGGTGCTTCCCCCTCCCCTGCTGCTGATGCTGATGCTACTGTTCGCTCGCGCTGGAACACCCGCGATGCTGCTGCCCGCCTTGCTGTGCGCAGTCACTTGCCATCTGCTGAGCGTGCGCACTTCACTCAGTTTAAGACCGCTAAGGCCCTGTTTGATGCTGTTGTTGCGCGCTACTCCTCCCCTGCGTATGCTGCCCTTAGCCGCATCATGCTCCCCTACCTTTTCCCTGACCTCGCCGCCTTTGCTACAGTCGCTGACCTCATTACGCACCTCCGCACTAGTGACACCCGCTACCGCGCTGCGCTCCCTGCTGAGTTCTGCGCCAAGAACCCCCCCCCCATGTACATCACCCTCTACTACCTAGTCACCCGCCTCCCTGACTCCCTTCGCTCAGTCAGGGACCACTTCCTAGCTGTCTGCCCTACCACTCTCACTGTTGACCTCCTCGAGAGGGAGCTCCTTGCAGCCGAGACGAGCATAGTCGCTGTAGGAGCCTCTCGTGGTGACCCTCGTGCCCCTGTCTTTGAGGGGTGCTCCCCCGTTCCCCTTTTGCCCTCTGTTGCCTCTGCTGCTGCTGTCAACTTTCTTGGCACTGAGTCGGTCGGCACTGCGTCTGCCCCTAGCGGGAGGCGCCGCAACAGCAAGGGTAAGGGGGGCAAGGGAGCTGGAGGAGCTAGCGGGGGTGGTGGTGGTGGCGGTGGAGCTGGCGGGGGTGGTGGTGGGGGTGGAGGTGGGAGTGGTGGTGGAGGTGGGGGCTCTGGTGGCAGCAGTGGAGGCGGAGGCAGCGGCGGCGTCGGTGGTGGGAGTGGAGGAGGCGGCGGTGGCGGCGGTGGCGGCAGCAGCGGCGGTGGCGGTGGTGCTGGTCGGGGTGGCGGCGCGCAGCGTGGCGGCTCCGGTGGTGGCCAGCGTCAGCAGCAGCAGCGCTCTCGTGAGGTACCGCCACCCCAGCAGCTTCACCAGTGGTACACTGGGCGGCAGCGGCCTGGTGGTGCTGGTCCCTGTACGTACGTCCTCCGTACTGGTGACCGCACTGGGGAGCAGTGTGGCGGCCCGCACACCACTCAGCGCTGCTTCGGCCGTCTGACAGACGCCTGGCGTCTCCAGTTCCCAGACGCCACTGAGATCCCTCGCTGGAATGAGCTACTTAAGTCGGGTGTAGCTATCTTTGATCTTGACTATGATGCTATCCTTGCTGCCATGTATGTTATGTCTACTAGTGATGACGGTGACTGTTACCTGAGTGTCCCGCCCGACCCGGGTGGTTCAGCTGCTGCTCTAGGTGCCCGTGAGTCTGCTGCTCCAGGTGCTAGTGAGTCTGCTGCCCCAGGTGCTGGTGAGTCTGCTCTCTCAGGTACAGCGTCTCCCCCCACGTCGCACACTTTCACCCTTGACTCGGGTGCTTCCCGCTCCTTCTTTCGAGACCGCACCACTCTCACGCCGCTCAGTCGGCCGGTTGCGGTCTCCCTGGCAGACCCCTCTGGGGGTCCTGTTCTTGCCCACTACTCCACTGTACTCCCGTGTCCAGCGGTCCCGTCTGGCTCCCTGTCGGGTCTTTACCTCCCCTCGTTCTCTACGAACTTGGTGGCGGGTGCTGACCTACAGGACGGGGGGGTTGACCAGTTCACCCCTGCTCGTCAGCGGGTGACCCACTGCACGTGTGCAGACACGGGCCGACACTTGGCCACGTTTACCCGTCGGCCGGGGTCGAGCCTGTACACCCTCACTACCGAGTCTCCTCCGGTTACTGTGCCTGGTCAGGTAGCTGCGTCAGGTCAGGTGTTTGCTGCAGCGTCTCGGTCTGGTCCTGAGTCTGCCCCCTGTTCGTGTCGCCTCCTGTCCCACGAGACTCTTCTCTGGCACCACCGCCTTGGTCACCCCTCCCTGCCTCGCCTCCGAGGCATGGCCTCCCGTGTCCTTGTCTCTGGTCTCCCCCGGTCTCTCCCTCCCCTTCCTCCGGGGCCTGCCCCTACCTGCGTTCCCTGCGTCGAGGGGCGGCAGCGCGCCGCTCCTCACTCCTCCGAGTTTCCGCCGACAGAGGCTCCGCTGCAGACTCTTCACATGGACGTGTGGGGCCCAGCCCGCGTCCGTGGACAGGGTCACGAGCGCTACTTCCTGCTGGTGGTTGACGATTACTCGCGTTACACCACAGTCTTCCCCTTGCGCCGCAAGGATGAGGTCACTGAGGTGTTGATCGACTGGATCCGCGCTGCTCGTCTCCAGCTCCGGACGAGTTTCCGCTCTGACTTTCCTGTTTTGCGTCTGCACTCCGAATAAGGTGGGGAGTTTTCCTCAGGCCCTCTGCGAGCCTACTGTCGTGCGAGGGGCATCCGCCAGACGTTCACGCTTCCGGCCTCTCCGCAGCAAAATGGGATTGCTGAGCGCCGCATTGGCATGGTCATGGATGTCGCTCGTACGTCCATGATTCATGCGGCTGCTCCCCATTTTCTGTGGCCGTTTGCGGTTCAGTACGCGGCGCGTCAGATCAACCTTCAGCCCCGGGTCTCCATGCCGGGGACCTCCCCCACTCTGCTGTGGACGGGGAAGGTTGGCGATGCGTCTGCGTTCCGTGTCTGGGGATCTCGGGCTTTTGTCCGAGACTTGTCTGCGGACAAGATGTCCTCCCGTGCTGTTCCCTGCGTCTTCCTTGGCTTCCCCCCTGACGCGCCTGGTTGGCAGTTTTACCACCCCACCTCGCGCCGTGTTCTGTCCTCCCAGGACGTCACGTTTGACGAGTCGGTTCCGTACTACCGTCTCTTCCCCTACCGCGCTGCCCCCCTCCCCCCCCCGCCGCTTTTCCTTACGCCAGGTCCCCCCCCGGTAGACCCCCTCCCCCCTCAGGGTCCTGCTCCTTCAGGTGTGTCTCAGGTAGACCCCCCCCCCTTGGCTGAGCCTTTGGAGGTCACTTCCGAACCCTCTGGCCCACCCGAGGGGGGTGACGCTGCTGCTGGCGCCCCGTCGGCCTACCGCCGCGCACCACGCTTGGAGACCCCTCCGGGGTTCCCCCCGCGACCTTCTTCACCGCCTCTGCAGCCGGTTACTGTTGACTCTGGTGCTGCTGGGGGTGGTGCTCCTGCGTCAAGGGGTTCGGAGTCTTGGGGTGCTGAGCCAGCGCGTGAGGAGCCTGGAGGTTCTGCGCCTGGGGGTGCTGTGTCTGGGGGTGCTGAGCCTGTGTGTGCGGAGTCTGGGGGTGCTGAGTCTGGCGGTGAGACGCTTGAGGGTACTGGGACTGCTGGTGCGCGGCCTACTTGGAGTGGCCGCCTTCGTCCGCGTGTGCCTCTCACCCCTCAG